TGTCCGCACGTGGCGGATCATTTTGATCTTCAGTGTCAATGCACGTATGGCCAGCAGTTGTCAGGAGAATGCCTTTGTTATTGTTCCTGTCTATTGAAAAGTTGACATCTGCGGCACTAAACTTCTTCGGCAACATTTGCGAGTTTCTCTGGCTCTTCGTTTGCGGCTCGGCCGTCTGATAAGGGTTCGGACATCTTAAATTAGTTCACAGGCTATAGGACTACTTCCATAGAAAGTATCTATCAAATACGTAAGTCCTCAACAATTGCGGATACTAACTGTCTCGGCGCGAGGGATTTCATGCCCAAGCGAAGTTTTCAAGGAGTTCAAAGGAACTAGTGAGAAATTAGAGGTGACCCTATCGCTCCTGCTGGATGTGGGATCAAAAAATTCCATCTGTCGAGCAGGGAATAACTTGAATTTGCCCGAATTTCGGCTCCACATGTGTTGAGAAGCCGGCAATCTCATTCTCCCCGCAACAATATATTAACTACTTGACGTTACTCTATGGCGGTGAAAGATCCCAAACCGGGGTGGTTTTCTTGCGACAATATTCCCACTGAACAAGCTTGCACGCAGAAAGTGGAAGATCATGCACAACACATTTCTTCTTCCCGCCCCCTCAACGACAACACGTGCCATACCATTGCTCTTGGGCATGGCAGACACATGCTTAAGATGTCAAAGCATACGAGTCGCATCTGTATGTAAGACCATTTGCTGATTACTAGTAGTTCGGCCGAGGCTTTCGGACGTTTTCAACGTCCCGTCACGCACTAAGTTCTCAATTCGGACGGAGAAGGCTCCGCGAGCTGATTTTGACGTGCCTAGCGCTCTTTGGCCGCCTCGTGTCCGCGGCCGGCCGAGGAGCAAATATTGCCCTTTCGGGACTATGGACACTGTGCCTCTCAGATTGTCAGCTCGTTTCTCTCGTTCCTCGCTTTCGGGAACTTCCATAACTTCAGTTGACCAGTGAACATCTTCGAGAATGAAAGATATGTGTGCGTCCAGATGTGTGCGTGTATGGGTGTGTGTGATCAGACTCGCACTAAAGCACCCCGCCGAGATGCTAGTGTAATCATGTATGATCCCCCCATTGCGAATATCGTTCGAGTGGATTCTGTTTTCGAGCTAAGATACTGGTGGAATATCCCGACCTATCCGCCCTCTCAACGGTTTTTGAATGTGTTGCTTGCCCGCTTCATAGATTGTATGCGCGGGTTCCACGGCTGCTTCTCAACTCGGAGAGACAAACTTCGATTCTTTCGCACATCTCTCGATCCGGAGCCCCACGCGTCTCGGGCCCATTACCGTGGTAGGATACCAAATCCGAAAGACTCGAACCTCGTGGATGGCTGGCTCCAGTGCCGGTGCAAGGATCCAGGTTGGCGATCTACATCAGCCGACCTTGTTCGGGATGGGTCCTTTTGGTGCTACTCCAACTGTCCAACAGAGATGGATGCGCACCAAATCTCGAACTTTCACCCCGCATTCCCCGATTAATACGAAAACTCACGCACTATTGGGAGCGTACAGCTTGGCTCTGCCGCCCGCGCCGTTTGTCGTGCATCAAACACCAGCTGTCCAGGGCGCTTATGCTCTCGACGGGCAGCCACCATCGCGGCCAGACACACGACAGCTTCACACCCACAAGTCTAAGATCAGAGGAACATCGATGCCTGATTGGGACAGAGTTCCTGGTTCCTGGTGTCCGTCGACATTGTGTCTCACAATCACATGCGCTTTCGAGAGCAAGATTCTCACGCCGTTCCGTTCGACCAGACCGCCTCCATTCAGTCTCTCTGCCCCCCTTGCTCCCCTGCGCTTACTTGCCTTCGACGTTTGCGACTAAGCTTAAGAATCCCACCAGCTTTGTGCCGCCCGACATACCGAGGCGGGAGCGCGGGGCTTGATTGTGACTGTGCATATTCCCATGTGAATCTCGAGTCTTGTCCTACGTCAATAAGGCTGTTTCGTTTCGTTTGCTGTGCCGCAGCGGGATCACTGACATCCCCGATCAATGAGTATCTCGAACTGCCGTGGTCATTCGGCCGTCTCTTCCCGCGCAGAAGCGACCCGAATACGTCTCTACATCCCGGCAATAAGCCCCGCTACCCCATGGGGAACGTTGCATTCCCGGTTTGTTCACATCCAATATTTTTTATGCTGGGTTAGCTTGAGGAGTCGAGCACGAGTACGATACCCGCTCGACTAATGAGGCCCACGACTCAGTCGGCGGGGACTGAGCTACTCCTCCTCCCTTGCCCAAGCTACTGCTAAGCTCGCAAGTGCCCCCATTCGCAATTAGCTGGATGGCATGGGCCACACTCAGACTAAAAGAAAATGCCAGGGGTGCGCAATCCGATGGTGGGTGCGGCTTTGAAGTTCACCGGTCAATCCACACTAGATCGAAATTTGCCCTGGAATGTCGTTCCTGGATCTTCGTGGAGAATTGACTTAAATAGGCCGCGGGAAGCCCTCTCCACGATGGCATTCTCCTTCGAGTCGTTTGAGGCAGCTCATTCGGATCGTCTTCAGCCAAGCTCAATCGTTTGGGTCTATCCTGTGGCTCGCAGCTAGCCCCGTCCTCCCTTTGGTTATTCCCAGTTTGTTCAGTGGATCAAACCGGCAAACGTTCGTCTCTTTTCACACCATGCAGCTTCCCACTCTCGTCTCGTCTCTCTCCCTCCTGGGAGCCGCCTTGGCGGTTTCGGACCATGTCCAGACCTTGGAAGATAGGGCGGTGGCCAACGCGACGGTCGTTCTCAAGACAGCAACTGTCGTCGGAAACGTCATGAACAATGTTGAATCTTTTGGCGGCATTCCCTACGCCAAGCCGCCTACCGGACAATTGCGATTGAAGCCTCCCGTGCGCCTCACAGATAACATTGGAACCTTTGACGCCACCGGCCCGGCGGCTGCCTGCCCGCAGATGGTTTCCTCTTCCGACAGTGACAACATCCTCTTCAACCTGTTGGGAGACATTGCGAACCTTCCTTTCGTCCAGAAGGCGACTGGCCAGACTGAGGACTGCCTAACCATCACGGTGGCTCGTCCTCAGGGCACCACGGCAGATGCGAAGCTGCCCGTGCTCTACTGGATCTTTGGAGGTGGATTTGAGGTATGCCCAGCGCCATCTGAACTTTCGACCAATTCATCCAAAGTACTGACAAGGATTTGTACAGCTCGGATGGTCCTCCATGTACGATGGAACCGGCCTTGTCCAGCACGGTGTCGATATTAGCAAGCCCTTCATTTTCGTCGCCGTGAACTACCGCGTCGCCGGCTTCGGCTTCATGCCCGGCAAGGAGATCCTCGCCGACGGATCCGCAAACCTGGGTCTCCTCGATCAGAGAATGGGCCTCGAATGGGTTGCAGACAACATTGCGGCTTTTGGTGGCGATCCGGACAAGGTCACCATCTGGGGCGAGTCTGCCGGCGCAATCTCCGTCTTCGATCAAATGGCTCTGTACAACGGAAATAACAAGTACAACGGCAAAGCGCTCTTCCGCGGTGCCATCATGAACTCTGGCAGCATCGTCCCTACCGACCCCGTCGATTGCCCGAAGGGCCAGGCCGTGTACGATAAGGTCGTCTCAGAGGCAGGCTGCGCCGGCAAGGCCGACACGCTGGCCTGTCTGCGCGGGGTTGACTACACTACGTTCCTGAACGCCGTCACATCTGTCCCTGGAATCCTCTCCTACAACTCTCTCGCTTTGTCTTACCTGCCCCGTCCGGATGGCAAGACTCTTACTGCGAGCCCTGATATACTGGCTAAGAACGGCCAGTACGCAGCCGTGCCCATGATCATCGGAGATCAAGAAGATGAAGGCACTCTTTTCGGCATCTTCCAACCCAACCTGACTACCACTGATAAGCTCGTCACGTACCTCAAGAACTACTACTTCGCGACTGCCACCACGGCCCAGATCACTGCTTACGTTAACACCTACGATGATGGCGTGACAGCTGTCATCAACGGCAGCCCTCACCGCACCGGGCTTCTTAACGAGATCTTCCCCGGCTTCAAGCGCCGTTCAGCCGTCCTTGGCGACTTGGTTTTCACCCTAACTCGCCGCGTCTTCCTCACCCTTGCTAGCTCCGTACAGCCCACTGTACCTTCGTGGTCATACCTCTCGTCGTACGACTACGGTACTCCGATCCTGGGTACTTTCCACGGATCCGACTTGCTCCAGGTCTTCTACGGTATCAAGGACAACTACGCCGCGCGAAGCATCCGTACCTATTACACCAACTTTGTCTACGCCTCAGACCCTAACGTGGGCCTCAATGGAGCCTACCCAGCCTGGCCCCAGTGGTCCCAGGGCCAGAATTTGATGCAGTTCTTTGCAGACAAGGCTAGCACTCTGAAGGACGACTTCAGAAAGACGAGTTCCGACTGGATCCTGAACAACGCTGGAAGCTTGTACTTCTAGTGCAGCAAGATGGGGATGGCAGCTGCGAGTTGGAGGAGTTGAGCAAAACAGTGCAATGATTGATCATGATTGACGAAATAACTGGGGAAATCTGGCTACTACATAATGGGATAAAATTTAATTCTTGACTGAGCGTGAAGAGATCACTTCGTTTTCGCAAATGATGCTCTACACCAATCCTGCTGAAAATTCAAGGTATCTCCGACGCCCTGGAAATAACATTACTTGGCTGGACATATCGACGTTTGTTGTTTTTCGTTGATCCTGTCGCCAAGTCCGCACCGTCGTTTTTATTGCTGTACAGCCAGGAGTATCGTCCCCCAACTAGATAGAGATCGTACCGAGGTCCCGCGAAGTCATTGAGACTGCATCGGCCATCTTTAGCCCGAACGCCCGAACAGTGTGCACAATTTTCTCGTTGCCTGAACATCGATCGCCTTGAGATACTCTTAGAACAAGCCTCTCCCTTCACGGCCTTGTTGGTTAGACGAATGAGCCAGTGTTGCATGAGCTCCATATCAATTGATCACCCATTGGGCCTGGTCTGCACCTCAAGAACTTAAGATGGCACAAGAACCGTTTCTGTTGAGGTGGGGGATAATGGCCACCGGAGCCATGTCCGAGTGTATGTCAACTCTAATTATCCCCTTGATGAGACGAACGAGTCCAACCCTCTCATATTAGGCGGTGTTGCTGACACATTGCAGACTTCTGCAAAGACCTCCTGACCAACCCAGCTACTCGCCAAGTGACTGACATTAAGCATGCCATCACCGCAGTCTCATCTTCGAAAGACCCTCAAAAGGCGACCGAATTCCTCGCTCGCATCGATCACCACTCACCTACTGAGGTCTCCACATATGGATCATATGCAGCACTTGTTAAAGACCAGAATGTTGACATTGTTTACATCGCCACCCCGCATAGCCACCATTTCCAAAACGCAATGCTAGCGCTCCACGCAGGAAAGAGCATTCTTTGTGAAAAGGCTCTCACTGTCACTGCTGCGCAAGCGCGGCGACTGTACGAAGTTGCAAGAGAGAAGAAGCTCTTCTTCTTGGAAGGTGTCTGGACCAGGTTCTTCCCGCTCAGCGTCAAAATACGCCAGCTTGTCAGCAGCGGAGCTATCGGCCAGATTCATCGTGTTACTGCAGACTTGTCTCGAGCGAACAGCAGCAGAGATTTCGGAAGCAAAAGACTTAATTACGAAGACTCCCATCGCATGGTCAACCCTGACTTGGCCGGAGGTGTCCTACTCGGACTTGGAATCTATCCACTAACCTGGGTTTTCCAAATTCTCTACCATCTCCAACCTGAGAATGAAAAAGAGGAGCCACAGATCCTGTCAGCCGTTCAGAAATATTCTACGGGAGTCGATGAGTCGGCCACGATCATCCTCAACTTCCCAAAGCACGGAACAGTGGGTATAGCCACATCATCGCTTCGGGTTGCAACAGATCCTGGCATTTCCGGCACCCAAGCGATCCGAATCCAAGGCTCACATGGCGAAATCCAAGTGGAAAATCCGGCGTACAAGCCTCAATCTTTCAAGATAATTACCATGTCGGAGACGGGAGCTGTTGAGAAGGTTTTTGAATACCCTCATCCGCAAGATAGCGAAAGGAGTTGGGGAAATGGCACATTTTGGGAAGCAGACGAAGCTGCACGTTGCATAAGGGACGGCAAATTGGAAAGCGATACTATGCCGTGGTCTGAGAGCATACTCGTCATGGAAACTATGGACAAGGTATTGAAAGACGCCGGAATATTCTATCCTGAGTTGATCGCTACAGACGAGTTTGACCCTCTTAGTCCGCTCAATACCGGTGGATGATTGAAAGTAAATAATTATAGTCATCTTTACTTAGGTTTACCCAAGTATGAAAAGGCGATCAGAAGTGATCTTGAATTCTACTTCCCCAACGGTATGCGTGAGTGTCAGAAGATTAACGAACTTGTCGTTCGACCTCTGTCATTTTGGAGGCTTAGAGGGTAAAGCGGTCCTTCAAATCATCTGGAGATTTCATTACGAGGCCTGAGCTAGATGTATTAAGCCAATGCTAGTTTTATGGCCGTGGTATTGACAGGCGGGATGTCTGGCTTTGGCCCAGCCCAGATTGAACAACCCCCAAGTTCTAGCCAAATTGTCGGAGTTACAAGGCCTCGTAGTGACAGAGCCTCAATGAGAGCCCCAGGTCTTCTGCAGGTACTCCTCAATGGTGGTTGGCTTGAATTCAGGAAGCAACTTATTCCACTCATCAGTTGTTGCCCATGTGCCTCGAGCAGTCGAAATTGTCGCTCCGATAACGACTACGTTGCTGAAGTACTCCTTCTGCTCCGCTGGAACACCAGGAACGTCAATATCAGGGGCGAAGTCTGTCTTGACAATGCCTGCCTTGAGGTCCTCAAGCTTCAATCTGTCGACCTGGAAGGGTTTTCCTAAATGACGTGTTATTTATACGTAGCTAATCGAGAGAGCTGCGATGAAAACGGGTTATGGACGGACCTCTGTACTTTTCTCCCAGCTTAATGAGTTCTCCAATGGTGACTCTATCGCCGGTGATACCGCCCACAACAGGCCAATCGCCTTCGTAATCGACGGCTCGTGCAGCTACCTCCGCAATGTCCTCGATGGTAGTGATTGACATTTCGGCACTCTCAGACCCCTCGAGAATGAAAGCAGTAGCCTTCTCGAAATCTATGAAGGTAGCATAATCGATCTGGTAGTACTTGGTGGTCTGATGAGGATACCCCAAGTAGTTCATGAAAGCTCCTGGCTGGAACAAACTGTACTCAATCACCTAGGATTTGATCAGAATATGAAGCACTCAATATTTCGAACCCTCAAACTTAACCAACCTTTTTGCTCTTGTTGATGTCTTCCAAGTATTTCTTGACTTCCAGCTTGTTGGCATACCAAGACGTGTACTCAATCACATCAGACAGGTTGTTGTTCCTTAGGCCCGCTCTGTTAGCAACAGAAGTATTGAGGACAAATTGAGCGAACGAGGAGTAGCGATACTTACGTTGCCCACTCACTGGGAGCAAAGCGCTTCACCTCAGCCTTGATCGATGCATCGATGAGACGCTTGGCTGTCTCCGCATTCGGGTCGGTGTGAGCCACGATAAAAGAGAGAACAGTCTCAACACCGTCGAGAATCTCTACTAGCTCCTTCTCGTCTTGATAAGAAGTCTGGATGTACCTCACTCCCTGAAATTGGGGTAGAGATGAAGGGTCCTGGACTGGATTTAGAACAAAAGGACTGGCAGCTTGCGTGTACCCAAGTAGACTGAAGCATTGATTGCTTGAAACTTCTTTTAGGGGGGGCATATAGCTTACCTTGCGGACCAATCCAAGGATCTCATGTTTTCCGGCGGCGGCCAACTTGTCAATGACCTCGAGGGCGAGCTCTGAACGTCACTTGTTAGCCGTGACATTCACTCTCAGAGGAGTGGATTCTGTCTCTAGCGAGCAGTTTGGGAAGCTTCACTGCCTGAGATGAAGTCTTAACTCACTCCCGGAAGCACCAGCAATAGCGACTCTGACCATATTGATGAGATTATAAGTTGGATAGAAGGAAGCTTATGCGTGAACAGACAGCGGACGGTTTCGTTGGGTTGTAGATGGCCTCTAAGTTCAAACTTGAATCTCTAGAGTTCAAGGAGCCTCTTATACTTGACAAAAGTGCAGACACCAAAGTCCGTCAGCTTTGTGAGGCAGTGAAGGGACATCTCCGCTCCATAATCCGCTATCTCTTGCTCATTGACATCATTTCCGGTCGTCGTGGTGCCATACATCGACAAAGCGGGATACGCGGGATTCACTTCAAACGGCATAGCAAGCCACTTCATTCATTTTAGGACGTTTTCCAAAACCTCCGCCAGTGGAATGAAATTGGTGAATGACCCATTGCTGAAGGATATGCCACACTCCACGCTAGAGGCTGGCGGGGTTCCGCAATTCCGCAGCCATTCAAACTCCGCCGTCAGCATCGGCTCCCTTAGCCGGCCTATCTCCACGGCGCCGGCCATTTGGCTACCAATTTTCCTGCACCGCAGGATCGCACAGAATTTATTCACCGCTGACGTATACTTGAACTTCAAAGCATGCATAGTGAAGGACAACTTCCACGTAATTCATGCTGTCATGCGTTCCCGTGGCTTTTAACAACACCTTGTCCCATCAGGTACTATGCTTTTCCTCCGACCGTCAATCTAGAATATCCTGTATTCAACTTTGCATGCTATTTCGGCATCGGTGACCAAGATATGCTCTTTTCAAAACGGCAACTACTTTCTCGGGAATACTCGCGCCAGAATCATTCCTTGAATTCATGGTCACACAAGCCTAAAGCTCCAAACATAATGCTCTTACCTACAACCAAAAAGTTCCATCCAAACTATATCGCACTCTAGGAGTTATGGCTTTGCCACTGAGCGGCAAGGCTGATATTTTGATGGTTGCTATCAATCTCCGAATCAGTCGCATGTCAGCCGCGATGAAAGCGACAAAGGTTGCATGATTCGCGTTGGAGAGTGGGATGACAAGCCTCAGCAATACCTCACCAACTTACGTGGACCTCCTTCCTTCCTTAGCTACGTGTTCAGTCATCTGATCTGTAGTCAAAAGTCCGTGTTAGCTTCAGAAACTCACCACTGGCCTTGGAATCTCCATTATCACCTCCCTGGCAGCTATCTACTCGAACCGAATTCATTCAATCTCGTTCCTGTTTACTTCAGAGGTGCGCTGTGGCACCTGCATTATTCCATCAACTGCGAGATGACTTCGGTACATCAGCCTCCAGTTTTCTCTGACAGCCGAATTTTAGAGTTAAGTGTATCAGATGGGAGTTAAATAGCAACAATTCGGATTACCATAGAGTGATACGTGATTTATTATTTCTCCTCGTGAGAGGTACGTAGCTATGTACCGACGTTATCTCGCAGTTGATGGGATAATGGACGTCCAAGCCATCACATTTTTCTGCTTCGGGGCATTACTAATAACTACTCCGATGTTTTCTCCGGCTTGTGCATGTACTTAATGTCCCGTTGTAAAAAGGCAAAGTAAGATGCACGTGGCGTTGGGGGGGGGGGGGGGAAAGCACCATCATGCCGATCACCTTAATCGGGCAATATTCCGCCGTAAAGCTCTGAGTTACAGGAAAAGTCGTTTGCAGCACATCATGTTGAGGTCCACACAGACTCCATAGAGATGTACTGATAAGGCATAACAGACTCATGAGGGGTTTGCATTACCCATTACGGATAGGGAAAACCTAAGCACTCTCACGGGTGATACACTCTGGTCAACACCGATGGTCGGAAAGTAACGACCTCGGTACGATTATACATCCGTCTACTGCTGTATAGGTAAAAGTCACAACACAAGCTTGAATTATAACATCATGGTTCTTGGTAAGCGAAAGCCCTAGTCGACGGCGAACTTGGCTACAAGATTGCCCACATAGGAGTCGGCTTGTCAATCTGCTTACGAAAGTGAGTTTTACTCGCTGAATCCAACGTCAAATGGCGTTGACGGTCTAGGCAAGACACGTATTGCCACGATATAAGGTAGAGATAGTCAGGTAAACAAAGATTGCATTGGAGATATCTCCTTTCTACCGAGTGGGGCGTCGAAAGACTAGAAGTTTGTCCTCGACCAAACCAGTTATAGAGATGCATGCGCCTGTAAGAAGTGGACTTCGGATAACGTTCGCCCTAGATACTTGAAGTATCCACGCCTACACTTCGTACGTGCACATTGTCAACATTATCGACTCGACGTCTCTCAAAGTGTGTACACCAATTTCCCGCCGCTGACCTTGCCCGACTTGGACTCCTGCAAGCCGACCAAGACTCCCTGCAGCCCGCTGCCGCCTTTGTTCAATATCACAGGGGGCGGCTTCACCTTGCCGTTCGCCAGCAGTCCACGACTCAGCTCCCAAAACATCTTGCCAAACTCCAGGTCTTGAGCATTGGCCTCATACGTCTGGAAGAAGCCAAAGGGCTCACCGAAGACGGTGTAGTACAAACTCGTCCCGATCTTGACGTGAGGGTTGGCTTGCAGCACCTTCCCGGCTGAGATGGGCAACAGGTTAGCGATCGAGCCGCCCTTGGTCGACAGCGCCTTGGCGCAGAGGATACCAGACTCTTCGGTGCTCTGGCAATCCCATGCGAGTGTTAAGCCGTTTTGAGTATACTCCCGGATATCCTTGCTCACGGTAGGGATCCGGTAGTCGAAGACGATGTCAGCGCCGAGCGACTTGACAAAGTTAAAGTTGTGTGGCGAGGCTGTAGTGATGACGCTGAAGCCGGAAAGCTTAGCGTACTGGATGCCAAAGATGCCCATGGCGGTGCTTCCACCGTTGATCAAAATAGGCGCAGACTTTTCGGCGGGCGATGTGGGCAGTGGAAGCTTGAGCGTCTGATACAGAGCTTGACCCTAACGAATGCGTTTCTCGCATTAGCCACTGTTATCTTACAAGATGAACATTCTTGAGCTGTACGCACGACGGTGGTAATAGCAATGCCGAGGGTAGCAGCCTGTTCATCAGAAAGGTTGTCGGGGATGAGAATCTGCAGATCACTCTTCACAACAATATACCTTGCGAAGCTGCCATCAACTTCTCTCAACGCGTTCCTTACTCCTGTCAGCACATCGTATTGAACTTTTCTCAAAAAAAGACAGAGACGCACGAGCCATTAACTGGGCCGCAAATCCGATCGCCCACCTTGAAGCCCTTGGTGACACCAGGCCCAACTTCGACCACGACGCCGGAATAGTCGCAGCCCACCCAACTACCGACACAACCAGCGTGGTCGGCGGCTTCCACGTGCTTCCAGTCTGTAGGATTGATTGCCACAGCAGAGGTTTTGACGAGAAGGTAGTCAGCCGCTGGCAGGCCTGGGACGAGGACGTCGACCACCCGGGCATTTCCAGCGGAAACAGTCTTGACTGCTTGATTTTGCGCCATTGTGATTCGATAAGATCTGGTTTTTTTGAAGTAAATTTTGACAGTGTAGCGAGAGCCCGTGGAAAGTCCGTCTTATATGAGATGCAATCGAGCTCATAGGAATTGCAGATCGAGTTGGGCAGTACCAATCGTGGATCCAGGATTCGTTCGGTCTCTTTATATCGTATGGCTTTAGGGCGGAATTCCTCCGCCGTCTCTACGTCACTTGAAGATTGCGAAAACAGAGTCATGATAGAAGGTTCGTGTCGTGGCAATTGCGCGGCAAACACCCCAGGCGATGGGTGCCATTACCAAGCTGGACCATAGAACAAACTGGAAATTTTGACTATCTACATAGCGTGCCTTGAAATTCGCCAGTGCACTTCTAGAGGATGCCAGCAATGAGACTATCGAGATCCCTGTGACAGTGCTTGGCATGGGGCAGGTCCACACTACCTGGGTGCGTTGCCTTGCATAAGCTCCATCAACCTCAAGTCTTTGGACTGGCTCTGACTAAGTGTGCCCATTTTTCGATTTGTACAACCGGCACTTTTCTGCACCCGTCCGACCAACAGCTCGAAAACCGCGTGAAGTGAATATCTCGACGAGAAGTTTTCCACTTGGTCGGTGACTCCAGGGATCGTATTGCCATCAATATGTAATCAAAAATTAAGCTTGGCAATAATGCCAGTTACGAGGATTTCAAGCGGCCGCTGAAGTATTAAAGCGAAAGGTAATTCCATCTGAATATGGATTGCACAACGCTTACTCGTCTTTCCCAATAAACTATTTCTCAATCCTGAAGTTATCGCTTCGCTCCATGAATACAGGCACCATGAAGTCTTTCAACATCATGGCCCTCGCGCTCTCGCGGGCACTTGCCGTTCGCGCAGTATGCTCTTCGGTCCTGCGAGTCGAGAATTTCATCAGTTCGGGCCCGTCTCTTGACATGGTCTCTTCCTTGATTATTGGCTCCGAGGCGGCTTTGCTTATCGACATGCCCCTCGCGGTTCCGCAGGCCGAGGAGCTCGCGGCCTGGGTGGTCAAGACCACCGACAAGCCCCTAGTGGCCGCCTTTACCACACATTTCCACCCCGACCACTACCTCAGCGGTTCCGCGTTCCTAGCTCACTTTCCCGAGACAAAGTATTACGCCAACTCTAAGGCTGTGGCCCTAATCGAGAATGAAGTTGAGGAAAAGGTGAAATCAGGGCAATTCCCTTTTCTACCTCCAACTTGAAGACTAGAGTCGCTAACACAGTTCCCCTCTACAGCTGAAAGTCTGGAGCGGCATCCTTGGAGCCGACGCTGTGGTCGAAAAGGCCACTGTCCCAACTCCCTATGACTTTACCTTTTTCGCCCTGCCCGGCAACGAGAACGAGCCCATCGAGCTCCTGAGTCCTCTGGTTGCCGACACCATCGACGAGACCCTCTTCTGGATACCCTCCATCAAGACCCTCATTGCCGGCGACTCTGTCTATAGTCACACCGTCCATCTCTGGCTCGCCGACTTGCTCTCCCCCGCGCTGACCTCCGCCTGGCTCTCGACCCTAGACTTTATTCAGCACCTCAAGCCGGCTGTCATCATCCCCGGTCATGCCCTATCTGTCGAGGGTTTCGGACCGTCCGTCGACGTCGAGCATTCCCGCAGATACGTGTCCTTCTTCCAGAAGGAGATCGAGGCCAAGGGTTTGGACTTCTTTACGCCCGCGGATATTGTCGGCATGCTGGACGGCGCGTTCCCCGGCCTGCTCAACGGCACGTCCCAGACCTCCAAGACGCTCGTTGACATTAGCGGAGACCAGTTCGGCCGCAACGGCACTCGTCAGGTTCACTATGTTGATCTTGCCTCATATAACAAGACCGCCGAGCTTGAGGGCTGGAAGCTCTAAGGAAAATTCCAGAGACTCGCAAAAGAATATGATTTGCTTAGACCGTGAGGTGGGATTTTACGTAGTTGGGGCACGATATCACAATGTAAAATGCGCAACATTGCATGCCCAGCTTACCTTAAGGTCAAAGGATGCAGGCTACGTATGTTAGAGGAAATCAGATGTTGTTTCTTCAACTCCAGGAGCATTATCCGGGATTTTGAATTTGACCCCTTCTGGTCATGGCCTTGAAAAGGTCAAGGAATATAATACACCAGTCATACAGTAATACATCAATTCACGCAGTGAAAGCTTTCGACATGGTGACGCTTTCAGACATTCCTTCTTACTCAAAAGCTGTTTTTCCTATTATCTTCGTACATGAAAAGCTGCGTACACAACCATTCCTGCCCAGTGCTAGGCTGGACATTCATTCCGTCGAATTTTTCACATTCTCTTGGCCTGAATATGATAAAATCCTGGCGTCCCCGTACAGGGTGCCCTAACATCACCACGCGTGGTTAAAGCAGATGCTAGCGGATGAGATTGAACAAGTGACCATTAGGCTCCATAGGCCTTGCCAGGTGTACGCTTAGACACCATGCCGGCACGTAGGGATCGATATGCATAACAGCCTTGCCATACTCAAGCTATTGGAAATGTAACTGTTCGCATGAAACCGTCAGGAAGGATCGGAGGCAGCATCTATCAGGTTAGCAGTGCTGACCGCGGCTCACTGACCAACTACTGAATTACTATTGAGAACGTCCTTGTGGACGGCATGAGTGTCATAATGGAATCTTAGACGAATATTAGCCAAGTCTCCATAGAGCTTGTGGGAGACCGCTTCAACTGCAAAGTACATCGTGTGTACGAAACTATAGATTCGTAGCACTAATCTCGTATACGACAATCTAGACCCCACTACTACCTTGGCTTCTTTGATCAATTCAATTGAGGGTGGTGGTTAAACATCGCAGTCTTAAATGGCAAAATCAAAGACAGGCGAGTTAATATCCTTAGTGCTTACACCTTCGAGAAGAATGGCAGACAGCGTAACATCGGCTGGATAAAGTGGCAACTTGGAGAACAAGGGCCGTCCCACCGGCCGGTCGGGCCCTGGTGTCTGTTGATTCTAACCCATGTGTCGTCCGGGGTGTCACGCTGGGGCTGTGATATTCCATTTGCGACCTGCCCTATGAGAACGCCTAGGACTGCGGGACAGAAACCCATTGCACGGGAGCTTTGCCACATCCGCCGCTCCCCGACTCTTTGCACACTGCACTTGAATAATCCTTGCTAAAGACCCGTCGAAGGCAAGGGCTGTTGGGCCTGGCGGGGTTCTCGCGCAGAAGCGCACCGTTGAACAACATGCGATCAACTGGACTAGGCGATGTTTGTGCAGTAGCCCGAAGGCAATGAACTAGGATGAGTTGACAGCAGTCCGTTGGGTCTGAGCCTTTAAATGATTGGAAACGACCCTCTAGTCCTGAGAAAGCTTCTCTTTCGATTGTTGTGCGTCCCGTCATTCAACCTGCCGACTCTCTCGACTTTGTGCAATGGCTATCATTCGTGGTCTGAAAGCAGCAGCTTGGATCGCCCTTGTCTTGGGCCAAGTCCAGCTTGCAATTGCTGTGCCAGCGGCTGCCAAGTTCGCCAAGAGAAACACGACGGATCTCCACAGCTCTTACGACTACGTGATTGTGGGCGGAGGCTTGAGTGGCCTTGTGGTTGCCAATAGACTCACCGAAGATCCGGATGGTAAGCGAATGACGCGTTCTTGAAATAGCCCACTGACGTGCTGCTAACCGACATCTCTAACAGTAACTGTCTTGGTTGTTGAGTATGGAGACTTCGACGTCAGCTGGGACGTAGCTATACCCTACTACGCTTCTAACCTACACCCCAACGATTTGATCCAATTCTTGTCCATCCCACAACCTGGATTGAACAATAGGACTTCTGGTGTTCAGACTGGAACAGTAGTTGGAGGTGGCTCTACTGTCAATGGCATGGCATTTGATCGCGGCTCGAAAGCCGACTACGACGCGTGGGAAGAGCTAGGCAACCCGGGATGGAATTGGGACAGCCTCTTCCACTATTTCAAAAAGGTGTGCAAAAGTCGACGGTAGAAATAGGGCTGAACTACTTGTGCTGACGTCTTTCCCCAGTCATCTACATTTACGCTTCCCGCGCCCGAGTATGTCGAGAGGTACAACTTTAGTTACGACCCGAGCACCTATGGTGATGGTCCTCTCCAAGCTGGCTTTCCCTCGTGGCAATGGCCCGACAGAGGTACGCGAAAACATGAACCCCTCCTAACATTTACAGAACTCTATTTCAAAACTAACATGAATGCTTCCTAGATCTTCAAAGAAAGGCCTGGATTGAGGACATTGGCGTTCCTGTACTCGATGACCACGGTGCCGGAGGAAACAACGTTGGCCTGGCTCAGCTCCCCCAAAACCACGACCCAAAGAACGTTACTCGGTCGACCTCGAGAACAGCATACTATGAGCCTATCGCCGAAACTCGCAAGAATCTCAACCTCCTTGTGAAGCACTATGCTTCGAAGATCGAGTTCGAGGATAAGAAAGCTGTCGGCGTCAACATCATCTCACGCGAAACTAACGCCACAACATTGGTGAAGGCAAAGAAGGAAGTCGTCCTTGCCGCCGGCGGCGTTCAGACGCCGAGAGTCCTGCTCCAGAGTGGCATCGGCCCCGCTGGGCTGCTGGAGTCTCTCGACGTCGATGTAGTCGCCGACCTCCCTGGTGTGGGTAGCAACTACCAGGATCACGCATGGATGTTGATGTTGTATACGTACGGTAACCCTCCTGAGCTTGGGAGCGAGGCCATGAACGATCCGGCATTCTTCAATGCATCTGAGGCCGAGTACTTTGCCAATCGAACTGGGCCCTTCACTCACGCTCGTGGAAATAATATCATCTTCAGATCTCTCCAGGATCTTACTCCGGAATATGAAGCTCTGTCAGCGTCTGTCGAAGCCCAGAACGCGCTCGACTTCCTTCCGGAGATCTACTCAGAGCACCCCGAGCTTCTAGAGGGCTTCCTATCTCAGCGTGAGGCTCTCACCAAACTGTTCCGAAACCCAGAGGCAGGCGTGCTGGAGATCCCCTTCGGAGGCTTCTCTGGTGGCGCAATTGCTTTCCAGAAGCCTCTGTCTCGTGGTACCATCAAGATCAGCTCAACCAACCCTGACCCTGCCAACCCGCCCATCATCGACTTTGGTACCCTTCAAAATCCCGTTGATGTCGATATTGCAGTCCTCAGTGTCAAAGATTTCCGCAAAGTCTGGGATACTCCCACTTTGGCGATTAGGGAGGCCGTTGAGATCTCTCCGGGTGTCAACGTCACATCTGACCAGGCCATTGCTGAAGCTATTAGGAACTCCCTTTTTGCCAGCTTTGCGCACCCCAGCGGAGCAGCGAGTTTGCAACCTTTGGAGCATGGTGGCGTTGTGGACCCCCAACTTCGTGTCTACGGTGTTGAGAGCCTGAGGGTGGTTGATGCCAGTATCATTCCACTGATTCCAGCCTGTCATTTGCAAGCGACTATGTATGCCGTAGCTGAAAAGGCTGCCGATATTCTGAAGGAGAATTAGCTCACACAAATACATATTCGCCGAGGTATCCTATCACGCTTTTGATGCTTATGCTTGCGAGGAGCTTCCTTGTCACGAATTAGGAGATTCCACTGCTGCTTTTTGTTAACGGGATTGACAAAGTGATGGTAAGTTTGATCATCGTCCTGGGGTGATCTGAACATGCCGGACCTGCATTAGGCATAGATCAGGAACGCCACCAATCCAAGCCGGATGATATGCCGCCTAGACCAAAGACATGTGAAAAGGATTAAAAGTCCGAGGGTCCTTCCACCAATTGAGTGGGTGGTCCAAACGCGTCCAGATCCTCAGCTGTGGTCGATCACAGCCACATGGCTTTGCCTGAGAGAAACGGGCTGCATATCTTTCCGTTCGCAAGCAAGCCGAGCCACTGGCACGATGGAGCGGCCGCTCGCATTTCACAAGCCCGTTAAGCATGGGTTTCTTTCACAACTGAACCGCTGTATGTAATGTAATGGAACCAATCTCGTCATTGCTTCAATGAAAGGAAGCGAACCTCAAATGTCGCCACGCGAATGGTCCCCTGACATTCCCATTCTTCGTACCCCGTGGCTCTTATATTCCAAACCTTCGTTCTTTCGATTTGCCTTCACTAGCCGTTGATGTTTCAGCAATCCTTAATGTTGAGTGAAGATGAGGACGTTTGGCGCACTCACCTTTCTACTGTGCATTATCACAATCGCAGCCGGAGCCATTCCTAGTATCTCCGATTATCCTCCTTGCGCAGTAAGAACGTCCGAATCCCGTCTCAGCAAGGTTGAAGCTAATAGATCTAGGTTACCTGCATCGTTGATGCCCTACCTCAGTCCCCATGTACTGGTCTGAACCAGACTTGTCTTTGCGCCGACTCGGTCTTCAACGACAATGTTGGGGCTTGTGTTAACTCTGGATGCACAGTCAAAGAGGGCCTCAGTAAGCATGGGATCAAATTACTCTAGAAATTTCAGACTCTAACAGTGATACAAGTCGTAGCAAATATGACCTGGGCAAACTGCGGCTTCCCGTTGACCGACAACACAGCGATACCCCGATTCCTCACAGGTACACTCTTCATCTTACCAGTCATCTTCATGTGTATACGGATCTTGAACAAATTTGTCAACCCATCTCCTTGGGGCGCTGATGACGTTTGCATCTTCATCGGGTTTGTAAGTCAGATTCTGGACTGTCACGTCGCTGCACCGATTCTGATGTCCAAACAGGCATGCGCGACGGCTTTGGTGCCTATTGTGTATCGATGTAAGTGCACACCCTACTCACTTAACAACCACCCAAATTACAATCGACTGACATTGGTTGCAGTACTAGCTATTGGTCTTGGGAGGGACATCTGGACTCTCCAACCTTATAAAATCACCGAGTTCCTCAAGGTAATATCTGAACACTTAAGATTTCGTGGGAGAGAAAAAGACACCGAATTCCTGAGGGTCGTACAGTAGTTCTAAGACACTTAGACTAACCGTTGCTTAGATTCTTTTTAGTACCCAGATCTTCTACATCACTGGCTTGAGTACCATCAAAGCGTCCATCTTATTCTTCTACCTCCGTATTTTTCCATCTGTTCGCTTTCGCCGAGTATTATGGGCTACACAAGGTTTCAATGCTTTGTTATTATTCTTGTACCTCATTCTCACGTTCACTCAATGTCGCCCACTCAACAAATACTGGCTTGGATGGGATGGAGAACAAGCAGGCGTTTGCATGGACTTCAACAAGCTCGTCTTGACTCACGTTGGCTTCAACATTCTCTTGGATATTTGGATGCTGGCCCTGCCACTCACACAGCTTTATAAACTGAATCTCGGATTCAAGAAGAAATTAGGGGTCATCTTGATGTTTTCTGTTGGATTATTGTAAGTTCCACCGTGGGAGGAAATGTATTCAGACTGCTGATCATGTCAAATCAGCCTCACCGCAATCAGCGCTCTCAGGATTCAAGTCTTGGTTCACTTTGCGACCGCCAATAACATCACCTGTAAGCTCCATCCTTATCATTCTTTCCATCTTCATTCCCAGGAACGATCCAAACTCATATTTGACTCTCTCAGCTGAGGCCTTGTGGGTCTATGTCTGGTCCCTTGCGGAACTTGATGTTGGTGTTTTTGTTGCCTGTATGCCTAGCGCAAGTCAACTCTGGAGATGCACCTTCTCAAAGATCAGAACGCTCTCACATAGATCTGACGAAAGGTCTGGATCAACCACTGAAATGATTCCGTCGCCAAAGAGGGCCAGTGCACCAAAGGCTCGGCACTTGTCTCTGGAGTCAACGTCGTCGATATTGAATCGGTCCCCGGTCTGACGACATTTCAGATGATTGGCTTTGCAGAAACTCAAACATCTCTTAGGGCTCAACCTTGGCACATAAGAGCAAGAAGCATTAGGTTGGTTTCAACAATTGAGCGTATATACGTATTCTATTATTGTAGTTGTACAGATTTTGTAGCTGCGGAAGAATACAAAGAGACGTTAAGTGAGCTCAAGTGTTGCCACCAGCCAAATTGATGAAAAGGTCTTTCAGCCGGTGAAGCAGCATTCTTGCTACTGCTTAAGACGGGTTTTCAAAGCCACCTCGGCTCATACGCTAGGTATCGCGCTGCAGGACGATAAATGCTAGGCTGCTTCAGGCGCTTTCTTCGTCATTGGATCGCTTTTTATTCAGATCCTGGTCCACGACATCATTCAACACAGCCAAGCCATCCCTCTCGGCACCAATTCGAGCTCTTTTCAGACGCCGAGTATCGGACTCCGTCTTCCTCGTAACCCACCAAGTAATCAGCGTAACAATGGCACAGCACCCAACCAGAGCCATTGCTGCTGCGAAACTTGTCTGATAACGCGGCGCATACTTTGACCTGAAGATCTGAGGCCCAATAGCACCTCCGATTTGACCGTAGCTGTTGACAAACCCGATGCTGAAGGCCGAACCTGTGGCTCTTGAAGTGGTCTGGACGCGCCAAGGCCACATGAGAGGGAAGAAGGCGGACGTAAAAGCGTTGCCGACGAGCGTTGCGGCATAGACGGCGCCATTGGACGGGTAGGCGACCAACACTCCGTAACACGCGATCACGACAGCGAAAACGCTCAAGGGGTAGAGTGGCCGCGGCACGGTTCCTTTGTCAGCAAAAAATCCCGTTACTCCGATGACAAAGATGGACAAGAGCGAGATTGGCAAGTTGAGTAACTGAGCTCGGGCTATGGTTGTAAACCCAAGATTGGCAATGACCGTTGGCTGATAGAAACGGACACCAGATGTACCGACAGTAAATGTGGCCCAAATGAGAGTGAAGAGCCAAAGACGTCGATCTTTCAGAGAGTCCACAATTTCGCTGAAATTGAAGTTCATCTCTTCAGCTCTCGGGGCATTGGGTGGAAGCCGTGCTTGGATGAAGGCTTTCTCCTTTTCAGTCAGCCACTTCGCAGTGGGAGGGACTAGCACAAGACATTGTTAGAATTATAATAATCGGTAGCAGGTTCAAAGGAACTCGAACTGACAGTCAGGCAGGAGAAAATATACCGCAGTCCCTAAAACGAGAGTAATGAGCCCTTCCACGAGGAATAGCCTATGCGGTTCCGCTGTCAGCTTTCAGGAAGCTCATTTTCAGTGATGTCTTACCACTGCCACCCTGACAACCCTCTTGATCCGGAGACAGTATCGAAGGCAAACGCGAGAATACCGCTGAAGATTCCGGAGAGATTACCGAGGACATCTACCTCGTTTGTTAGAAATTTTGCCCGGCGATGAGAATCGACTAAGGGGTTACTCACAAAAGTAAAGCAGCCGAATCGACATCTCGTCCGGTCTGTACCTGCCAAGGGGTTATTCAATCAATCAACTGGTAAAGCTGCTAGGCAAAGCTTACCAATAGGTCATCTGAAGTATGACTCCAGGAAACATTCCTGCTTCGAACTATGCATTATTAGAAATGTCGGTAGCTTTTTTGATATCCCACAAAAAGACTGGACTTACTGCACCAAGCAGAAATCGGGTAGCGTAGATACCGCCTTTATTGGTAACAGGAACGTGGCAGAGAAGCGCAATGCCCCAGGAGATCATTATCCTCGATTGCCAAGCACTCGGTCTGAGTCGCTTTAACAAAAGATTTGAAGGCGCTTCCAGAACAATGTAGGGTACCTGGACCAATTAGCCGCAAGCTCGGTAACTCAGGTGCGGCTGTAACATACGTAGTATAACACCGTCAAAAGGTTGTATTCGTCAGAAGTCATATTAAGCTGCGTCATGATGTTCCTTGGTGTTCCTTTGTTCATGATTCTCGCATTCGAAATATTGTCAGAGTCGATGTTCTTCATCAGGAAGAGCAGAGAGCATATTGTCATTATCCTCAGGTCGACACGTCGCATGAGCTTCTTCTCCTCATCAGCTGTGAGCAGAGACCTGGCTCTCATTCTCTCGGCATCAAAGCCAGAAACATCTCCGCTGATCGATTCGTCGATTTGCTCCCCACGTCGAGCAAATGTCAAGCCGTCTTTGCTGGCTCCACCGCCGCCAGACAAAGAGTTCGTCCTGGTTGAGATATCCTTCGTGTCGGCCATTATGAAATGATGGAGGAATCTAATCTCTTGGTTGGCCATCCAAGGTTCCGAGTCTCGAAACGCAAAGGCATTGCGCGGTTTTGTGAAGCTTGCTGAATATTACTTATTGAGGGCTGGGGTCAAACGATTCACTAGTCGCCAAGAACTTCACAACAAACAAGACTGAAAAGTCTGACGGAAACAAGCCGAGCCTGCATTCATCTACCGATCATGTCATCTTTCCCGAAATCGCGAGCAATGAAGATAACGGGGGTGTCGTGCACCATTACTGGCCACATGTAGACATATGCATGGATTGTCTCAAGTGTGCCAAGAGGAGACAAGTAGCATCATTTGAGCCCGGGAGAGCCTTCCGCGATAAGTCTTTGCTTCTTGATCTCTTCCTGAGAATCCTTTCGTGGGGGGCTTTGACGGGCTGCTGGGGTATCTATTATGATCATTGGGCAATTCACTGATGACAGTGCTGTTCAACTAAGTAAGCGGACGAAGTCCGTCGAAGATCCTTGCATTCGCAATCATACCCCGCGATGGCGAGATACGGGCATCTCACGCTAACAACATCAGAGAGGCCGAGTGCGGAGATGCGTCGTTCGTGGCACATAAGATAATGAATGATTCGGTGTCGTGTGGAGTCGCGAACTTATGAAAGTCTAGATGGTGGACTCTGCATCCACGTCAGTAGCATCAATAACTGCTCAAAAGTTCAGCTTCGACTCCAGCAATGGCTGCAACGGTGCAAACAAACCCAGTGCGTCACAATTATGAGAGTTCCACTCTTCCCGTATACCACCAGGTCCCAGAGACCAAGTACGAACGTGAGCATACGAGGAGTCAATATTTGCTATCAAATATGAAGCTTATTGGAATATTTCCGTAGTTGAGTGGGCAGACTTAGTTACACTTGATCTTTCAAAGTTTGACCAGCCGGGTGGCAAAGAAGCTCTCGCAAAACAGCTCTTTGATGCCATTCAAACCATTGGATTCTTCTACATTGTCAATTTTGGTTTGAGTCAAGGAGACGTCGATCGCCAATTCGCGATAGGAAAGTCTGTCTTCGAACTACCCACCGAAGAAAAGCTCAAGTATCGTGCCGACCTAGAAAACGGCGGTTATAATGGGTACAAACCGCTTGGCCTAAGAGTGAGTGTTCGAATCGTTGTTATGGAAATGGTTCTCGTCATCTTCCTCATGCTGAATCTCGTGATCCAGGAAATCCGGCCCGGAGTCTTTGACAACACCGAGATCTTCAACATCCCAAAGTTCATCCCTGCCTACGAGCGCCCACAACCCGAGGTGATCGAAAAAAACAGAGCAGAAATTGAACATTTTGCACGTCATATTCACAACGAAATTGTGAACCGGCTACTTACGCTGTTTGCAATCATACTGGAGCTACCCGAAGACCACTTCGCTGCCCGCCATCGTTATGATGAGGCATTGTCGGACTGTCACTTGAGATACATGAAGTACCACGCGCGAGATGTGAAGACCAACGAAAGACTGGAAAACGTTTGGGTCAAAGGCCACACTGACTTTGGGAGTCTTACTTTGCTGTTCAGGCAGCCTGTTGCAGCTCTCCAGGTGCGAGGCAAAGATGGCAACTGGAAGTGGTATGTTAATATCTCGCATATTTCTTGTGGTAACCATATTAATACCAAATAGGGTCAAACCATACAACGGTAGCATCACTGTGAACGTGGCCGACGCGCTAGAGTTTCTGAGTAATGGGTTCCTGAAAAGCAGCATTCATCGCGTCGTCGCCCCACCCCCAGACCAGGCGGGGATCGATCGTCTAGGTGTACTGTACTTCGTACGGCCTGAAGATAGTCTCGAGCTCAGACCGGTTCAAAGCAAGGTTCTCCAAAGGCTGGGCTACAATTCTAATGAGAATGCGGCTGTGGCTGGAATCACAGCTGGTGAATGGGTGAAGGCTCGCGTCAGGGCGGGCGTAAATCGTAGCCAAGCAAGAAGCAAGGTCTCCGAACAGGAAATTGTGAAAGGGGTGAAGGCCAAGTATTACGACTGAAGGTACATGGAGGCGAATAAAGAGTTGTTGGACATGGCAAAAAGGAGTATCGAACTTGATATGGACATTGTAGTTTGGTGCTTAACGTGAACCGTCCTCAATCATCATTGACATACTTCTCAAACACATCCGCGTAAAATTTCCTTCCAACATCCCTATGACTCCTAACCTTCGTCCTCAACTGGCTCTCCCCCCAAGTCTCATATTTTCCCTTCAAAAACGCCGAATCAATCTCCTTCCCCTCCTCAGACTCCGACACCAACCCCCTAATCTCAGGCCTCGCAAAATGCTCCCTCAGAGACCCCACCGCCTCCTCCTTGGTAAGATCCCTCCTCACCCCCTGGAAAAACGGGACGCTGAACCTCTCAAGATGCCCAGACAGCACGCGGTGAGTGGTAGCCTTGCACACCCCGTTCGTCACCACCTCAAACGCCTGACCGATATTGACAACAAAGGAGCCCGGGAGTACTGGTACGTCGATCCATTCGCCCGTCTTGTTGAGAGCTTGTAAGCCCTTAATATGCGGCGGCGAGGCTTGGAGGAGGAAGGTCCACCACCCGGACGAGTCCTTGTGTGGACCCACGCCTTGGCCGCCTGCTTCTTTTTCCAGGAGGCCAGGGTAGTGAACTAGTTTCAGGCGGTGTTGGTCCGAGAGATAGGAGAGGAAAGTCTCTGGCGGGAGAGAAAGTGCTTTGGCTACCAAGATGAGGAAGCGGTTTCCCAAATCGGTCATTTCCGATATGTACGATTCAACAATAGGACGCAGCACTGGGTATGAAGACGGCCACTGCGACTGATAGATCAGAAGACTAGCCCAAGAGATGGGGCAGCAAAGACAGCCATGAGATACATATTCTCACCTGATTCGGCCCACGAAGCCGTTCTCTCAGCGGCAGACCCTCCTTCAGCCCGCTCGGTAACTCCGTAGCAAACTCGACCTGTTCCCTCCGATCGCTCTTCCCCGCCGTCGTCTCCGCGCCATCACCGCTGTATCCCAGAAAGTGCGGGGAATTGCTTAGCGCGATCTCGGATTTTGCTTCGGGCGGGAGCGCGAATAACTTTGGCAGTGCGCCGACGACATCAGAAATAGTCTTTTCGGGGACTCCGTGGTTGATGATGTACAAGAAGCCGACGTTGGTGAGAGCGTGGCGCAGATGGGCGAGTAAATCCGCCTCTGTTGCGGGGTTTTGGGCGAGGGAGAGGTCTATTGTGGGTATTTCGCTGAAGCTCCCCGTGGGTGGCATGGTGCGCTTGATACCAGCGAGAGCTCAGTTACTTAGACCCGGTTCTGAATTAGAGTCAGTTGGGTCTGATGGAATGAATTAGGTTGACTTGACATACTTTTCGAGTTAGCATTGACGTCCGAAAGCTTCAGGGTTCGCGGTGAACAGGTCCGCTGCCGGCGCCAGACCCGGGGGCGGCGGGGATGGTGCGAGTTTGGAGGTTGCGCACGTCATGAGCCGACCTATATGATCCCGCGGCGAATACCTAAATTGCTGTATCGAGAAGGAATAGGTACGTACAATGAGGGGCACTTAGGGACGCGAAACCCAAATGCTATTTCCAATACTTCAACCTACTACCCTACTGCACATATAATACACTACTTAGTACCTATGTACCTACACAGAAGAGGCAAGTTAATAAAGCTTTACTGGTTTTCTGCGGACTTCTTGTCAACCAGTTGACCAAAAAGAGACTACGTTTGACAGCAGCGTTCTCGTTTATGTTAGCAACCCGCTTACCACACACAGCTCACTCTCACACGAGGTCTCACACCATCTCCAATTATGCACCTCCAACACCTGGTCTGTCGGCAAAATCTGCAAAAAAGCAATCATTGCAATATCACCAAACGACAAAAGGTTTCAATGCCCAGAGGCGGATTCGAACCGCCGTCAACACGGATCGCTGTATAGAAGAACCACAACGTATCATCCTAACCAACTAGACGATCTGGGCGATTGATCCTGATGATCTGATGAAGTTTCGAGCGTGAGAGTGGGCTCATTAGCCCTAAGCGGCCCCGCAGCGGGACTACATTCCATCGAGTCACGGCAGAAACCCCACGTTGGCGGGCCTCGATCATGCAGGAGAATGAGAAGCTTTAAGAAAGACTTATTAGGTACTTAAGTACGTAATCGATTGACGATGTTCGACAAGGTAAGCATGCCGGTATATGTGTTTTCCACTCCGCAAGTCGGAGCCTCATGACTTGGTCACTTGGCACTGCGCCGTTGCAGCTACAGACGGATCAGACTCCGACGTCGCCTTGAGCGTCACCACCGCCGTGCTCGCCGCATCGGACGCGGCGCCAACCGAAACGTACGCCGTCTTAATCTCGCCGAACTTGGCCGTGACAAGAGCATTGGGCAAATCCACCCGCCAGCCGGTACCCTCAACTTCGGCGCTCAGCCTGTAGACGTCTGAACCTAGGAAGGCGGAGACATCCTCAGGGTGCTGGGCCGCATCAGGGTCGACGGCGACGTAGGTGCCACTGTTGGTCAGCTGGAACGAGCACGTCACGCCCTGGGTAGCAGCCGTGCCGTTCTTGGCGCCCGTCACGGCGCCATTTTCCAGCGAGACGTCGTGGATGCTCGCGCCGCCTTCGCCCGTCAGAGAGCGGACAGCGACAGTGTATGAGAGGATACCCTCATCATCGCGGTGACGGTCGACGATGTAGAAGTGCAAACTGTTGGGCACATCGATAAACTCAAACTCGCTGCCAGAGTTCGTGCCTGCGTGGAAGAGCGCGTCAGCGAGCTGACGATAGTCGCCGAGGGTGATCATCGCCACGGAGCCGTTGGGCCGGTAAAAGTCAATGAGCTCAATGTCCTCTGGGTTTGCGTCGATAACCCACTGGAAGGGCTGGTTGTCGACATTCTTGGACTTGCTGAGCAAGACACCGGAATCCGGCTGGAAAGAGTCTGATCCCATGCGGTCCACAACTTCGATATCGTAGTTATCCCAGCTACCGCCGTCGCAGAGCACTTCCGTCGTGATGTTGCATGCCGGGGATCGGTCGCCATCCATGATAATGCGGACACCCATCAATCCATCGCCCGGATCGACAGACCGAGCAACCAGGTTGGCAACAGCAACTCCAGAGGTTGCCAGCCCTTCGCGAGACAGCCACAGGATATCAGTCTTGTCAATCAGTCCGAGCTGGAACTTGTCGCGCAAAGTATGCAACGAGCCCATCGACGCACCCTGCAGCGCCGGGATCTGCCAACGGGTATGAGGACCGCCGGGGCCGTTGAAAGAGCCGCGCGACATCATGGACCACGGCCCGGTGTATGCTCTGCGCAGGGGAAGACCATACGGGTTATTGTAGTTGTCGCCGATATCGAGCAAGTGGCTCAGCTCGTGGGCGTAGACAGCCATGCCAGAGCTCTCGCCTTGAGTAGACGAGCCACCACCGGCGTTGGGCCAGAGTGTCGATGCCGCCGCCCAGGAGGTCCAAGGAACGTAACGTGTGCGCGCATAGTTGGTCTGGGAGCTGTTTCCCTTTTTCGGGGGGCCGAACTCATCCGGTACGTCTTCGGGACTATTGAACTTCATCTCGCCAAACTCTTGCCATGTTGAGGATTCGTCTTGACCGGCAGAGAGGATGAAGACCAGCTCAAAGGCATCGGCAGTGGCGTTTCCGACCTCGGCACGCCAAGCGGCGAGCGCATCGGTGCGAATGTTCAGGTCGCAAGTCTCTCCCTCGGGACAGGCACCTGGGTTAAAGCCGCCATCAATCCCGTATTGATAGCCGTTGCCAGAGAGCTGGTAAGCACCAAAGGCGGTCAGATCGACTCCGAAGCGGCCGACCGAGTCCTCCATCCAGTACTCGTGAAGAGTGTGCCCATTATTCAGCTCATTCGGCGTATTGAGGAGGTCGCGGTAGAAGGTTGGAACGTTCTCCCGGGGGATGTCAGCACCTGCAGGCTGAGGGTTGTTGAAGATGGTCGAGTGCGCCGGCTGAGTGATGACGAACGGTCTATCGGGGTAGTCGACGACGACCAGGGCGATGTTGAAGTTGCGGCTGGATCCCTTGCGCGCCGGGTCCGACCAATTCGTGCCTGGTGGTGGAATGAAGTCACCCCATGTCATGTTGTCCGGATTGACCCAGTCCTGGGGATCAATCGGAACGAAAGGCGTGTACGGGCTGTCCGACGCCGCAGCAACTGGGCCGGCGATGAAGGCACCGAGGGTGGCTCCCAGGACGGCCTGGAAGCCACTGTTGCCATCGCGAAACTGCATGTCGCCCAAGATGGAATGAAAGTTGAGCGGTGACGTTCGAACCAGCCACCAGCAGATGCTCACGGAAGCCAGCAAGGCAAGAGAAGAGAGCAGGCGACGGGGCAGACTGGCGATAGATAAGTACTTGGACAGCAAACGCGACGCGGTCAATGAGGTAGTACCGACCTTGCATCTCTGACCTCATGAACGTTCCTCCCCCGCCCCAACGTTATCTCATTGCGGACCTTCATTGATGTATCGTTTTGCTCTTTACGAGAGAAAGAGTGACTTGCGGTTTGCCAAGAAGTCTTAATCTCGTCGTTGCCCTTGTGCAATGGCACCTGCTGCTTCAGGAAAGAGTCCATGTCCACTTGGACGCGCTGATCAGTAACCACATGGGGCTCTTGCCGGGTGACTTTCGGGATGCTCGGTCGTGCCCAACGATCCAATACAACAGTATCTCAGATGCAAGCTTTTCGAATGCGAGAGTTAAGGCGATCAGATTGCTTGGTTGAACAAGCTCAATGGGAAGTCGTAAGATGGTTCGTACGGAGTACTCCGTAACTGCAATCGATTAACGGGTGTGGGGGTTTTACGAGATGAAATCCAGGAACCGCTACGGCTCGGTTGGGGTAATCGGATTTAGGTGGCGGGGTAGGCCGACATGTGGATCCTCAATCTCGGCACGGACGCGACCTGGTCAGTTTATGTAAGCACCCGAAAGCGAGCCCCCATATCTGCATTATTGCTCATTACAACACACCTATAATTACAAATCTGGATACGTGCATTTTGATTTTTGGTACTTTATCTACCAAGTGAGCGATGAAATAATTGCCTCTAGAACATTTCGAAAGCTGTCACTCTTTATTGTCCGATAAGTTTTCGACTGAGATCATTCTCCTGGTATTTCATACGTAAGTGAGATAGCTTTGCGGTAGTTATCTATAGAGATTCTACTTCCTGACTTGACGACCGACTGATACTACTTGAGATGGAAAGCTCTGGGCTATCCACCTCATCTCCGACGGCGTCCGCTGTAACTCCTTCCCCCAACACGCATCATTTCATCCAAAACCATCCAGAAGAGCCAACCCTTGACATTCTCATAAGCCCATCGTCTCGTAGACTCGGGAGTTGCGTGATACCCAAACAGCCACAACACGGCAATGATGCCGCAAACGATGCCTCGTCTCACCAACTCATTTCCGCCAAACTCGGCAACGCCCAAGAGCATTGCCTCACAGATGACATAGGGCCAGTAGTTGCTGAGATGCCACACAAATCCCATGCCCGACCCAGTTTCGATTCGTCCGTTCCGAATAGTTGTGTTGCTAGGGCCCGGAAGAAAGACGGCAAGAGGCGATCTCAGCCCTGCGATACGCCACTGGAAGTAGCAGGCCGATAACATGATGATCCTGGCAAAGAGGCGGTCGAAAAGGGAACTCCCGTCAATGTTGAGAACCCATACCACCGGCGTGAATGGTACGGCGGCGGTGTAGAGAAGTGCGATGAGGGGAAGGGCGGTGAATTGGCGGGTGAGGATGTTGGCCTTGCCTGGTGGGCCGGACCAGGCCGTAGAAGGTCCCGATTGTGGGGCCGGTCTCTGTCCTTTGAACGGCGGATCGTCCACCGGGGTTTCGTCGACTTTGAAAGACACCATAATTTTAACGATAATAGGATCAAGTGAATGCTTTGAGGAATTGCGTCTCCGCGGATTTAACCCTCTTAGATCTAATCGGGCGACCTTTTGCAAATGGTTTCAACGAGCGTTACGAAGGTTGGATTCTCCAAGACAATAGTACCTAGGCAATATTGAGTTCTGAGGAGAAGTATCATCTGGCATTTATATTCGCATTCCTAAGCTGTGCCACCCGCATCGGGAGCCTGTTGCCTACTCTGCCTGAACCAAAGTTTGAAGGGATTCGGACCACGACATTGCTTACGGTTAGTTTCTAGAGCCTTCGACAGGGATCCTCAGCCATCACCAGGCAGCACACCCTATTTAAGCCCCCGCGGTGGCACCTGACCTGGTCGTTGCACAATCGCGACACGTTGCACCCGGCCCCCAGCCTGTCAGACCCTTCGGAACTTTGGCTTTTGTCTGGTACTCTGTTGGATTAATTCTTGGCCAGATCTTATCGTTGGTTGGTTGTGGCCGTACCTGCATGTGGATTTCCAAACGCGCATTACCCTAGCTTAAGGGGAAATCGCGTGTGCCATCAAGTGGGACTTTGGCATTTTGACTGATCTCAGCGAAGCTTTCAGTGCTCACATCAGGAGCATAGAAAGTGACTGAAACATACAGAAGGGGGATTCCTACTAAAGGCGTCTTAAGTGGGAGATGGGAATACGCGACATAAATCTCGCGGATCAATCACAGTCGTTGCAACGAATGAAGCACCCAAATCAAAAAAGAAGGACGACAAGTCGAAAGCAAGTTGAAATATAGTGAGCTTTTAAATACAAGAATCGAAAATGGTCGGCTGCACGAGCGTCTCCATGTTTTTTGCGCTGCGGATTTGTAATCGGGTCGGTTCAGGTAACGGGTCCTGACCTCTTAGTGGTTGAAGCCATCACGACATCTCCAAGATGTCACCCACTATCCCGTCCAAGCGCCTTTGAAACGTCCCGAAAAGGTCCTACTTTATACAGAAGAAATAAAATCAACTTCTCTCGGAGTGAGTCCAGCCGCCTTGGGCTATCGCGGTTCTACCCAACCCTCTACTGGTACGTCTTCAACAGCTCGTTGTAGTAGTTGTATCCAGTGCCCGTCTCGGGCTCAAAGGAGAAGATGTAAGAGCCCCACATCGATCCAGCGGCCCAGAACGCCGCTCCCTGCCACACGTCGCTGTTCTCCTGGAGGTAGTCGAGCAGACCGGCGACGGCCTCCTTGCACTGGGCGTTGGCGCCGCCGGCGAACTCGCCGAGAACACCGACCTTCTTGTTGGTGCGGAGCCACGCGGTAGCATCCTTGACACGCTCGACTCCAATGGTGGCGGAGACACAGTCGGCAGAGGTACCGCTGCTGTCGCTGTCGAGGTACTGGTGCATCTCGTAGACGGTCTTGTCGAGAGGATCCGTCAGGCCCTTCATGTTGTCGTTGACGCTCGTCCAGCTGTGGGCGCCCGTCCAGGAGTTACCCTCGGCCCAGATCCAGTTCTCGGAGCCGGTGGCGCGGATACCGTCGATGGCGGCCTGGTTGAGCTTGAGGACGAGGTCCTGGTCCATGGAGTTGTATTCGTTGTTGGTGTCGAACACGACGTTGGCGTTGGACTTGAACTGCGTGGCCAAGTTGGTGAAGTAGGTCTTGAAGGCGGCGGTGTCGGTGATGATGTTGTTCTGGAAGCGGCCGTAGTTGTGGGCGTCGAGGACGGCGTAGCCGCCGGCGGAGGTGATTTGCTCAATCGCCTTGGTCAGGCCGGCGAGGTAGGCGGCGTCGAACGTGCCGGTGAGGCCACTGGGAACGAGACGTTCCATGAGGTAGCTGACACGGAAAGTCGTGTATCCATCCTTCAGGAGAGTCTAGCACATATCAGTCAAGGGTTGGTCCCATTATCCGTCTCAAGTTCTCATTAACTCACTGTGATGGAGTTGGTGTCGGGGAAGACGTAGTCCTTGCCGACGGTACCGGGAAGGGAGCCGGGACCGAACTCGGCGCCGGACTGGTTGATACCGAACCACTTGAACTTTCCACTCTTGACGGGAGTCGAAGAAGCGGACGCGGCAGGGGCAGACGCAGAGGTAGGGGCGGCAGCCTTCGAGGACGAAGAAGCCTTCGTGGTGGCGGGAGCAGCCGAGGAAACCGCGGCGGCAGCGGTAGTTGAGGGCTTAGCAGCAGTGGTAGTAGGCTTCACCTCAGCGGCAGAGGGCTTGGCAGAAGTAGCCGAAGACTTGACCGGAGCACTCGAAGACTTGACGGGGATGACGATCGAGGCGGCGTGGGTAGAAGTCGACGAAGCTGGCTTGGTGTCAACAGGCTTCGCGGATGATGACACGGAAGCGACGGCGGGAGCCGAGGTCGAAGAAGGCGAGCTAGTCGTCGTGGGCACATGCGGCGCAACGTCGCTGGCGTAAGCCGGTTTGGACTTACAAGGCCGTCTCGTCGATGTCCTCAGGGTGGTGGCCTGGGCCTGGGCGCTGACGCCGCCGGCGGCGCTTCCTTGGACGCACTGGCTGTAGTATTCGTTCTGGACTGTGCACGTGTAACCGGACACGCAGGTTGTCTCGCCGGTGAATCCCTTGCCGCCGCAGGGCATGTAGGGGCCAGCCGCGGCCATGGCTCCGCTGACAAGAGCGGTGCTGAGGATGAGTCCCTTCATGATGAATTCCAGATTCAGGGTAACAAAAGAGTGTATGCGTGTGTAAGTCTGAAAAAGAGTGACTAAAGTCTGTCAATGAACGTGGTGATGCAAAAGAGTGTAAGGCCCTGAACGAGGGAGAAGAAGAAACTTGGTGGGATGCAACGAACAGCGGTATTCTTTTTTTCCATCGAGCACGTCTGGCTCGAGGTCTTATATTTGCGTTACTCCCAGAGTTGAGATTACCGTCCCAATGCAACCTAGACCGATCATGGTGCCGACTGGCCGGAACGGTGAAGGTCGAGATCCCTGCTACGTGGATGGGATTCGTGGGGCCACTGCATCCGCTGAATCGCCCCATCGCCCTCTCGCACCGGTTTGGCCCCCGTGGGTGGTGACGTGAGGGGCAGAATTGCTTGTTTGTGGACACGCAAGACACGATCTGGTCATGTTACCGGGATATTGCCTGCTCTCCCTTCATTTGGTTTCTCCTCCTTCATTTCCTTATCGGCGTTCTAGAGTGGTTCCTTCAATGGTTCGCCACTTTGCACGGCGGTTCATCTGGCGGTTCGTCTGATGTTTGTGTCTTTGTTGGTTAGACTTCCCGGGGAGGTAAAGGGATGGATGCGGCGCAGTGGGCAAATATTGGGCCAACCACGCGGGTAAATGAGGGCGTTACTTTTCGAAATCAGCGCACTCCCGGGATTGGGTCATTAAACATCATATACCAAAGGATTAGGTTAAGGTTCGACCGTTGCAATCTTAGATACTGTTGAAGCATTCAGCGATGCTTAACTCAATATCATATTGACGATTCCATGTTGATAGTTTTTTCGAAACCAAATCCCCCTCTCAAGACATGAAGTTGATTTGTTTCCTTCACCCAAGCTGCCAAAGTCTTGGCTTTGCCTGGATGAGGACGATCTTTCTGGGGCAGAGCCTGGCCAGGCCTACATGCCGTTTACGCCGTGCCGGATCCGAAAGGGCGAGTGGAACCCTCTGAGCCGGGTATCCGAGTCGTTTCAGATTTAGAGGGCTTAATTCTTTTTGACTTTCTTTGCTGTGAGCTCCCACGGCTCACACACCATATCGGGAGAAGCCGCACTAGCCCTACAAGGGAGTCTCCGCAGATAGTAAGTCATCTCCGTCGTATCTCTCCATTGAGCTTAAGTAGCTTCGATCCTTGCTTCCTCCTGACAGGCCGCAGGGGCGGTTATCAGATTACTCATCTGCGCGACAATAAATTGAGTTCAAAGGCCGTCTTGCGTCGTGGCGCTGGATCAGCTAAATAGGTGGTGTTGGCTTCGTTCTTGTTTCCATGGGCTTCTCTCCGCGATTTACGGGCGCGTAGCTCAGATATCCCGAGTTCACACATCTTCACAAGTGCTCGTCATCTGCCCGTATGAGAAAAAAGTTGGCCATGTATGTCAGGTCATGTTGGATATTGTATCTTTTACTAATTTGCTTGTAGTGAGATCTGAGATCTCTCTCGGCCAGAGAAATAATGAAAAAGACCGGTTCAACCTTACATCTAGTTGACTGCTCATGCGGACTCTCGTAAGCTCCTGTGTTGTTCCCCTGGAGCCCACGTTCTTTCGCCGGTCCATGGTAGGTAAGTTTAAAAGTAGGTGATAGATTTCGAATGAAGGCGGGCTTGCACACTTAAGGTGATCCTCGCAATGTGTCTGGGAAAACAGAATTGCTCTAGAAAGTAGATAAGCCGCCTGGCTTGATAGTCAAGGGTGTTGGTCTGCACCTCTTCATCCCGATGCAACACGCGCTGCTTGTGATGCAATCAACTAGAAGTCAAGGACTTTCATGTTTATTTCGATGCGCAACCGTGTACCGCTAATTTTCTTATTACTGGATTGGTCCAAGCACAGTGCTTATGCAACATCATCATCAAGCATCGACGTACGGGGTCATGCTACCATGGTTTCATCAGTCTCCGTCTCGCCTCTGCTATCCGTGTTGCAAGTCTCAGTTTGGAAATAACACAAAAATAAATTCTCTCTTATTGCAAAATTTCTTCCTCCCAATATGCTCTAACTCCCATATTTAAGTTGCTTTCAGAGGTGAATGTCAGAATGAAAGTGTGATGTCTGGCGGACAATGCCCAGCCACGCATTGAATCCGTGCTAAAAGTGGCCTGGAAGTCACGATTCTGCCATCAAGTTTTGATTTTTTGACAAACACCTATTGAACTACCTCATTGATGTGAATCTCACATGTCTCAGAAGCTGCGAAATGATACTTAATTCACCATACGCAGTTGAATTCGTTGGTAAACTTCGTAAGATGGGAATAAGCCCGCTACAACTGTTGTTTGATGTTCCATTTGAAAACGCCGCTCAAATCCCTGTCTACATTTAACACGTGGAATCTGGGGGACCAGATGTGCTACACTCGATGACGCCATTGGCCAACTTCACGGAACCTTCTCGAGTGACTAGGTTACATTGATTAGCAATAGTTATACGGTGCAAGGCCGTGTGGTTAAATAGAGCTTAATGGCACTTCAACGACCAGCCCTGAAATGTGCGACCTCTAAAGCTATGATGATCACTTACTGCTAGGTGTTGCGATAACAGCAACATCCTTGGGGCTATTCTCAGGAGTTGTGCAAGTCTTCCAGCGAAACGAAAACTTCGTACCTCCAGGAATACCCAATTCGGCAGACCGGTTCCTGATGGCGTACTCGATGTCACCTTTTCCGATGGGCGAGGGGACTCCAGTGCCGTAGCAGACTAATTCAACAGCCGAAGCTGTGCCAAGGAAGATCACGATAGCAGAGGTAGCAATCGCCAACTTCATTTTGTCGTCAACGCGGATCTGAAAGTGTTTAAGCGAATGTGGTAATACGAGAATGAGTGAGGTGGGCGGCTGGTGTAATCCATAAGTAGGTACCAAGTTGCTCTGTTTTAATAGTTCTCTACAATATTATAAATAATCGCTTCCCAAGCTCAACCGCCATTTGAGGCAGATTGATACAGTTCACGGTCCTCATAGTGATCGTGGGAAACTCAAAGTCTTTGAGTCATGATCAAAGTTCGGCGACACCTTCGCACATTGTTAAGTCCGCATCGCTTTAACACCACCCAGTGGGCGCACTGCGTGCCACAGGCCAGCCATTTCTTAGAACTCAGGAATTAAGGGCTCTCAGCTTACCTTGGTGTTTTTGTGGCAGGAAAGTTGTGTCGAGCTTGTATGGGAGTACTTTGCCCTTGATCGCAGGAGCCATATTCAGAATTTCTTTCATCGTTGACGTCTCGTTGATGTGGGTAATTCCTTCCAGTTGTTTTGGGCACCACCAAATGGTACGAATTATCCAGCGAGAATCGAATACAATCCCTGAAAACGTTGGTGCATTTCCCCAGTTTCATGTTCGCCCCAAGGGAGGCTTCTTTGCTTCTTCTGACATCTGGTCACTTTTGTGTTCGCTCTTGAATGAACACATCTCGGCAGATCTCCATAAGGCCTGTCCTCTCGACCCAGGGTATATTGATCCATTCGACTTACTAGCCTCCCACTAGGTCGTTTGCCGCGATTCCTGTCTCTGTTGAGTTTGTTCACAGCGCCGCTACACCTTGCACTTCTCTCATGAGTGACTAACTGCTAATACCTGAAACTCGGCCGCCTACGATAATGGCCGCATCGGAGGATCACAGTGGGCGGCCGAGTGAAGCAGCTGCCCGTGGGTCACAGAAGTTACTACATTCCGACGAGTCAGAAAGCTTTTATGCGAGACATCCCCGCTGGCTTCAGCTCTTCATCGTTTTATTCGCGGATAATTTTAGATGTCTGTTATCCACGGAGAAGAGAGAGCCGCGGGGGGGGGGGGGGGGGGGTTCGTCGCTTTCAGGAACGAATAAGACAGATAAAGAGGCGCTCTTACGCAAGAGAATCGGAACTCCTATCGACACAGCCACATGGTGCTTTGTGAAATTCGCAGATTCTACGATCTTTCATCGTTTATTATGGCTCATGTAGAAGGCCTTGGTGTAACGTAAGGGAAAGGCGACGAGAAATTGAAGAGGCAGCAAAATGACTAAGAGAATATTTCAAGATGATGCACAATGATTTGTTTGCTGAACTGTACAGACTGATCTCAAGGTAGTCACTCATACTTCTCAAATTGCTGATTCCTGGCCCCCCAGAGCAGTTCTATCAGTAGCTCTCTCCCGTAAGCCAATTTCCCATAGCCTATAGCGGCAATCAAACTTGTGGAATGCAAGATAGCCAAGCAAGTGTGAGTCCATGAAATTGGAGTATGGGCCCCTCTCTCTCAATACGAGGCGCATTAATTAATGACACTTTGGTACTTCGTCCAGTTCCAAATCTCCATATATCTATCACTATAGATCTGTTCAATATTATTCGATGACGATGACATAAATACAATCTTCGCGAATGTGGGAAGAAATAGGTAGACCTTGGGGCAAATTGTTGTGAAACTTACTCTCTTGCGTTTTCACTCTCACCTCTTCGGAGATTTCGGCAAAAACAGGTCACGCCTCCTTATCCTCATACCATCCCCTGCTGTGAACGTAGTTGTGTTTTTCTCCGGCTACTTCCTCTTTATAGAAACTGATGCGCATTCACCATCAGCAAGATCAAGGGTGGGAATAATAAAGGGAGGTCGACCCACGAAAATATTTCATTAGTGAGTCCAACCCATGTAGCAAGACCTGGTATCACCTCCAAAAAAGAGGACATATCAGGGTAAAGGGCATTGGGAAACGTGAACCAGGTATATGCTTCTCCGAATCCATCCTTGTCGCGGAGGAACCAAGCCCAGCTATGGCCAGCTTTTGTGCGCTCAATGCGACTAACTTCCTTCCGGGCTTCGAGCAAATTGGCGTTCAAGAAATTCAGAAATGAGGAAACAATAAAGCTGGCAACTAAGGGATCCCACTGCTTGAACGCCAATGTCATTAATCCAACCCATCCTTGGGGCAGAGGTATGGACTGCTTCTCGCCAGCGGCAAAACGTTCGTGAAACATCTAAAACTCGGGGAGATGGTTGGCAGCCTCGTCATCGAGGAGGCCGAGCCATTTATAGATGCCAACAAAGACTTGCACCTCAAACGGGCGATGAGGGAAGCACACATACTTAGGTTCTCAGTTAGCTTCAGTATTGTTCACAGGCGAAGAGGGTGATACGCGCAACAGGATACCCATATTCAACCTTTAAATACACCCACGAATGGGTGCCTTCCTCGTAAGGTACATGACGGGAGAAAATTGGACACCGTAAATAAATGATAACCATGCTCCTAGGCTCCGAACTACCAACATCCGTGTCAAAGAGAAATTCACTCACCAGTATTTGTAGCAGTCCGTTATTTCTAACGCTAACCAAGTGATGTCGGTAAAGTCGAATTCAGAACCATATTCCTCTCAGCTTTAATCGCCATCAGTGGCCACCCGTAGCATGAGTTCTTGCAGTAAAGTAATGTGCCTCTTACGCACGCTCGGGTACCTAGATGTAATCACCTAAGGAACTTGGTGTAAAACAGGAAGTGCCTATACTTCTTAGTCTGGCATGTCTATCTTGAGAAGAGAGTGTCGAATCTGAGCATTGGCAATTTGTGTTGTCTATCTGATGGCTGTCTATGTTCGAATGCTACAGCGGCAGTGTGGGTATTCATTCTGAACTGTCCGATCACGCAGGTTTGTGATCAAACTGACATAATCCACACACCCTTGCTTCCTTTGCATCATCAAAGATGTCCAGCTTCTCCCAATTCGCCGACCTGAATGATCACTACTGCTACACGGATATTACGATGCCGCCGACGCGAAAAGCTAAGTCAGACGAGGCCAAGAAGGCGGCAAATGCTGCCGTGTATGGAGCGAGGCCGGCGTTCCAAAGCAGCCCATCAGCTCTCTCCGGCGCGCCCGGCTCACATGTGGAAATACCCTATTATCCACTCGCCCCGGGCAACATCAAGGCAGAATATCCCATGCCGGTCAAGTCGGAGCCGCAGTTCGATCAAGGAATTCCAGTACCACAACTTGTTCCAGACACCGCAGCTGCTATGCAATTCGATACCGCTGACTTCAGCGACGATGAGTATCTCAGCTTCAATGAACCAGCACCGGCACCGAAGAGAACATCCAAGCCAATGACTGCAAGAGCACCGCGACCCATGGGACCTTGGGGGTCTGTCAGCGTTTGCTTCAATAGTGATATCGAGTGGCAAAACCAGCGTGTCGAGCGGCTCGGCCATGCCACGAGGACGATTTTTTTCAAAGATATATTGACGCCGTGAGTTCCCTTGCATACTCAGTTGGGAATTCTGTAGTACTGGAGTTTGGCAGAGCTACGTGGCACATACCGAGACTGACGCCATTGCCAGGGACACATTGACACGGTGCTCTCCTTTAAGGAAATCTGTGAACGTCTCACTTCATTCCGTTTCGTCTACCACGTCGTCAATTATGACACTACGAACTCTGCCGAAGAGCTTACTGACGACATCATCAAGATCACCCACGCCTGTCCGAAGCTGAAAGTATTTTCCGTCCCAGGCACGTCGGACCTCACAGAAAAGGCGTTCCTTGCGCTGTGAGAATTTTGCCCCGACCTCACAAATCTGCACATTAGTACTGCCTCAAGAAATCATTCAAATACAGGCCACAACATAGTATTCGAGGCGCTGACAAACCACCCGGAGTGGGTGCCAAAGTTGAAGGAGCTTCGTATCGCAAAGATGCGCTGTACAAGCAGCGTACTGCGAGTTCTGTCGAGGGTACGGCCGAAACTCCACATTATACTTGAATTAACTACAGAGGTCAAGAACTGGGAAAATTGGGAGTTGAAACACTCTCAGTCTGAGTGGTAGAACGGAAAGTGCCAGGACAGGTCGGAGTGGCTAAGAGGGCGCAGGGGAGATTCGACAAGTTACTTGAGCGCGACTATCGGGCCTATTACTAGTAAGACTGAACTGAGATTGAGGGCGAACAAAGCCCATTCCAAAAGTCGCCGGATGGCTTAGATAGACACAGCTTGCCGCTCTTCATTGCTTTCCATGAAAGAAAGACGAATTGGGTACATGGAGTAATCTGCGCATTTTGCATGGAGATTTGACTTAGAAATGTTTGACTTTCTTGCTTTCCTGGTGTCATCCACTCAACTGTCTCACGATATCCGGTCTTCTATCACAAGAAAAACAGCATCGTAGAAATAGACAGCACAAGAGCCAGCACCTTCCAACTAGCCCGCAGAGAGCCAGCAGCATTCTCGTCGTCATCACCGGAATTACTCTCATTGTTACCACCGTTTCCACTATCTCCATTGGCCGAGCCCGATGCACCATCTACGTCTCCAGGGCCGGCTGCCCACTTGAAGCTGGACACAACCTTATTTGTGTAGCCAGGAACTGATCCTATGGTGTAATCGTCGTTGGTGGTCGAGCCCGGTACACACTTGGCGCCATTCCACTTGACCATTGCTACCGCGGTCCACAGGCTAGTCATGTTTGTCAAGGTCTCCCAGGTATAGTAGAGCTTGCAGTTTGCCGCCTCATATATAAACTGCATCGGAACGCCATTGAGATCGTCATCGAGGTATATGTTGGCCGAGTTGACGGTCCAGGTATCCGTAGGTAAGCCCGCGAGCGGGGGGTTCGGGTCGGCAAAGGGTGTCATGTCGATTCCCTCTGGGGGCTTGGCGAACGCCCCAAGAGCAGGATAAATGGTCTGATAGGGTCCCAGCGAAATGACTGGTCCGCCCTTGGATCCTCCCACAGCTTGCATCGGCGCATCGATAGGTCGTCCCCCCATAGCCACGACCTGAATGCCTAGCTCCCGGGTCATCATGCCGACGATGTAGGCACAGGCAGACGCGCAGTGTCCATCGGTGAGAATAACTGTGTCTCCTGGCTTGAACCACGGCTCCGGGATCTCGAAGATGCCGGGCAAACCGGTACGGGCGTAGGCTACTTCCAAAGGTTGCACAACATTAGTGTAGTTGCTGCCCTCGATTGTCTCAGGGCCGTAAAAGTCCCCCCAGCTTGTGAAGTTTCTCAAATCTTCGTCGACGAAGCCATTGAAACCAACCGGGTAAGGAAGGGTCTTCAGGTCTGCGCCCAGTCTTTCGGCAGTCCTTCCGACCCAGTTCAAAGCAGCGTGCGCCCGAACCCGCATATTCATGTGCGCTTCTGCACCGGCCTCTGGGAATAGTGTCGCATATAGGCTCATTGCATTGGCCACAAGACCACCACCGTTACCCTGCAAATCTACGATGAGCTTGGTTTTGTTCTGGCTCTTGCTCCTGTTGACGAATTCGCTAGCAACTCTAGCAAACTCGATGGGATCCTCGAGTGCCTCAAGAACAGTTCTAGCTGTTCCGTTTTGGGACATAAAGACATTCACTGCCAGTACAGCGGTGTCTCCCAGAGTCGAGTCGTTGAAGAAGTAGCCGCTGATATACCTGTCTTCGTGGATGACAGAAGGTTCAGGGTACCCCTTCAAGGCCGGAGAGAATGGGATCCTCGTGGTATTGAGGGTGACTTCCGCTTCGCCATTGTCAAGCGGTACCTCAAAGCGCTCATGAATTGCTTGACCAGACGTGATGCCGGAGAAATTTGCAACAATGCGAGCTCTGTTGACAACAATTACCTCCGTTCCGTTGGCGAATTCGATGACGCTTTCGTCATTGAGGGTTGTGTGTAGATGCCTGCCAGCGCTTGTCGTCTCGAGAACATTTTCTAGCGCTGCGCTATACAGCTGCTCGTTGTAGGCTGCATCGGGATCCTGGTCTCGAGAGTTGTCAACAGACCGCTGCTGAATGTAGTCAACAATGGGGGCTGTGTCAAAGGACTTGACCTCTGACGCATTATATCCTTGTTCCGTGCTCTTCTGGTAGTCAGCTAGGAAGCACTTGCGTTAGTGATGTCTGAATGGCAATTCTAGATGTCTACCGTTGCCTCCTTCCCAACCTCCGCATGTGAGAGAAAGGGGCATGGCCAAGAGGGGAAATAACAATCATGGAATTCCCTACTTACAGTAAAGGTAAATTCTGGGCGACTTGATGCCATCTTCCGAAATCGATATAAACAACGCTGGCGTAGAAAAGCTGATCAATACACCCAAAACAGGCGACCAGGACAAGTGCCCATCCCGAGGCTTGACGTTAATCAGTCTGTAAAGATCAACAGTGAAGTCAATCTGAGACTCGTAACCTCCATTTTCGAGGGACTGGGTAATGTTGTCGAGGCCACCAAAGATATCGACGCCCAGGTAAAGGTACTCTGCGGGAGGATCTAGAAGAATGTCGACGGTACTCTGATATTCAAGCCATGGTCGCAAATAGCGAACAAGCGCTGTATCTCTTTCAACGTCCACTGAGATTGACCTAAGGCACTGGTATGCCAGGGAAGGCTTCACCACAACATCGTCTGCAGGGTGTCAGCCTATGTTCCACTTGATGTGTTTGTAGTCGCTGTTGGTCCTTCACCCCCAGCCTAAAGCTTTCGCGTGGCACGACAGGGGCGAATGCGAGGACGAACCATATCCTGGTACTCAACAGAAGACCTGATAGTATCTGCTCCCAGAAAGGAGCTACGTAACATACCGGTCGTGTTTGTTATAATTGCTTCGTCGTAGACCCTTCCAATCTCGGCACAAGCTTCGCCACCCGCGACCTGTCTCCGAAGCTGCGGTGTAGATGCAGCCGGAGCGGCGACCGCAAATGCCGCAACGGGTAGAGCTCGTGCGAAGAGCGATGTGAGCCGCACCATTGTTCTTACAACTACTACTCCGAAGCAATCGCTCAAGAACACAAGAAAGGCAATTGACGATCCGCGCAAGGCACGCCATGATCGGGCGCCGCCGACCTTAAGAAGGCACGCGCGTCCAAGACATTTGGCGACGCATCGCAATTAGCGGCCCTTCCTTCTGTGGCACCAACAAGCATACAAAAGTCCCGAATTGAGGCGATGCATGAGTTAGCAAGGCTGGGTCGCATTGGCGGTACTTGGCAAAGTCGAACACCGTTTGTCATCCAACGAGTCGAAAGAGAAATTGGCCCGATTTTGCACCAACATTCGATGGAAAGCAACCCGTCGAGACGGATCAAAGTAGGGCAAGGGGCCAACATCAGTATAAGTATTCAGCTTGGCCGCAAGCTGGGCTTGGCTCGTGACTTGTTGAACATGGGTGATCCACAACTCTAGGCATCACGTAGGGGTTTCCTAGCTGTTGGTTGGCGTGTCTTGGAAATGTGGTGCGGTCTATGAATGCTGCCAAGACAGAAGGATGCACCACAACCCACGCCAAACTTCACAAAAACAGAAATACACATCATCGAGCAGACTGGCCATCGCCGCCCTCTAGGCGCAAGGCCTACCTCTATTTAACAGTCTTCAAGCGCGATTGTCTCGTCCATGAAGCTTCCTAGCTGACCCGTACCTACACTCTGAACATAGGAGAGGTAGGTAGGCTATCTGGGGAGAATTCGAGGGTAACAATCTGTTCTTCCTTCCGACGCCGCCGTAGCCATGGTAGAACAAGACCCCCGGTGCCCTTACTGTCCTTCTTTAAGCTACGTTTCTACTATTCATACATTGCGCTACTCAGACCTACTCTGCGTGTCTAGAAGTTTTGGTTCATGATGTTCAAGTTGGTTCGTATGATGTGGTGAAAAGTTTCCTAATTCGGTAATCGGAGCCGTTGAACGTGTTGTCTCAAAATCCGGCACCGGGGAAGTGGGGTAAAAACGGCAACTGAAAGACTCTTTGTTCGCCGCTTTCCTCGGCCACATCACTCCGATCCATCTGCAGGGACCAACAGCGCTGGCTAGATCGTGCCATCGCGTAAGCTTACCTCAATATCCAGACCGCGGGGTTCTCTTTGACTCATGCAAGGGCTCAAAGCGGAAGCTACAATGGAGGACCCGCAGCGGCCAGCTGGACGGACAGCGGAGGCTAAGCTTCATCAAGGAAACATTAAGAAGCGTGACCGGCCCATCTAGAAAGCAGGGCGCACATGGCAGATGATAAACTTGCTCATAACTGGTGGACGTAAAGCGCTATGTGATAGATAACGCGGACCATGCATCATCTCATTACTAATTCTATGGATTTGGGGCGCCTCGTGATTAAGCTTCCAGCGTCCGATTCCCGGAGATGTGTCAAGTGGATACTCCGAGTTTAGCCAGCCCACCTTGCCGGGCTGGTGGAGCGCGCTTAGCTTATCTGTGAGTCCGAAACTCCGACGGCTTTGAGTCAAGAACACGGAGCAGCCCACTTCATTCTGATCAAGAGTGTCCCGCACCGCAATACCGACACATCTCGAACTTGATTTCACTCCCCATAGACTTTACACTACACAGACTTAGGAACAGACACAATAAGGGACGCTTAAGAACACACATTACGGATAAACATGGGTTCATTACCACGAGCAACACCTTTCAGGGTCGCCATCGTCAAAGCCTACGAGATCGACGAGCCAAAACACAGAGGGATGTTGCAGTCGTTCCGAGATAACGTCCTACAACAAGTTCCGGATGCAATCATCGACGCATATCGGCCAATGAAGGATGACGGCCACCTTCCAGCGCCTGCGGACTACAATCTCATCATTATCACCGGCGGACTGAGTAACCTGTGCCAGGCAACTTATGAGCCTTGGGTCGATACCACGCTGGAATGGATTCGACAGGTGGTGGGGCAGCAACACGTCACCAAAGCCAAGCTTCTCGGCATCTGCTGGGGTCATCAGGCAATTGCGACAGCTCTTTCTGGCAAAGTCGGGAGTTTTGAACATCCAAGAGTGAGTATTGAGGAACAGCGCAGGAAATATGGAGGCTCTATAAGGCAGATGCTAAGCTAGTTCTCTAGGTTGGCGTGGAAGTTCTCGCTCTGAACGATGATGGTAAAGAAATTTTTGGCAAGGATGCGCTGGTAAGTACCCTCTGCAGCATATTATCCGTGATCAATCCCTAGGTTCCAGTCGTTAAGCCCTCAATCCCATTAGAAAATCACAAAGTTTCACAAGCGCTTTGTGCAGAATGTGCCCAACAGCTTCAAGCCATTGGCACCTGAGAACGAAATCCTCATGTCCGACTCTGGACTTGTCTTATCGCTTCAAGGCCACCCAGAGATTTACGGCGAGCTTTCCAGGCAACTTTTCGAGATGAACGTTCCATATTACAGAGCCACACTGCCAACCGAGGACGATCTTCAACGATACTACTCTGAGATGTCCTCGAGTGAGCAGGACGCCAAGCTCATTTTCCAGAAGGTAACGGAATGGGCGCAGTCATGATTTCCTCAATAGTTAGACATGGGGGTTTTAGATATGATTGATGAAGTATAAATTTTGTCAATGAAGACTACAGCGTTCCCCTTTATCATTAAGATATATTCAATTCGAATGAACTGGGAATAGGTAAACTTCGATATTGTTTGGGACGTTAGGTGATCAAAGAGATCCAAGTTTCGGATCATTATCCTTTAATCTGGCGTACTCTTGTTGGGCTTTGATAGCAACATGGTGGCCCCATGGTCCACCTGCCGACTTCAGTAAAGCAATAGCTCGACAATGCGTTTTGGGATGACGGCAGTACGCAGCGGTGTAATAGAAGATCGCAACCGCTCCTATGTCAACTGCTATCTTCCGACTCTCAATGTCATCCAATAAGGTAGAGAGTTGCATAATGAGCCCATTTGAAGAGTCCGGCTCTGAAGAGAAAGGTGATAGAGGAATCATCTCTGTGATAATGCGCCATACTTTTAGTATTTTTACGCAGGGATCGGAGGCCAATTGCGGCTGTTGTGAGACGAAGAGTGCAAATTTGTCGGACCATTGACGCAATGGTTCCGCCACGACCTGGTGCGTTCTCCCTTTGGATCCTGTGACTTTTGGCGGAACCACAAGAACATAAGCCAAGAGGTCGAGCTGAACATTCCGAGCGTGAGCGACACTGGAAAACTCAGGCATTATTTGCTCCGGGGCTTGGACTACCTTCGGTGGCACGCTGGGGGGTATCGGCAACATTCTTGATTGCAGGACCAAAATATGAAAGATCGGTTTTATCTGACTCCGTATGAGGTGGCCTCCTGGCGACCCAAAGGTGGTGGTAGATGGTGGGGCGGTGTGGGATAACCACGTTGATAGGATCTTGAAGCTGCTTGTGAGATGTCGAACAGCGTCCTGATAGCCCCCACGCAGCCACTCAAACATTATACCGAGGATGGAACACACGAGTGTAATCTCGAGAGCTGACCATCCTCGATGGGTCATATGCGTATTGAGGAGACTGACAGCCCTCGTGTACTCTGCTTCGGCGTATTTATACAGGCTAACGGCATTCGAGTCCGAGTGTTGTGCGAGGCCAGACTTCAAAGACTCGTGGAGGGAACCAATGGCAACGAGCATTTGATGGACACATTGTTCTCGGTAGCTTAGTTGCAAGATGGTGGTGCTCCAGAACTCCACGTCAAAGTATCCAGCAAACTCAGGAGCTGAGTGTCCTTGATAAAAGTTGATCCAGCGACCGGTTTGCGGGGCTAGCTGATAGATGGCATCGTTAGGATTGGGCCGCGGTACGATTGATACGTATGCGCTTTTTGCGAGGAGCGAACTGCGCCGTTCATTGCTCGAGTCTTCGACAAAGTCGCAGACTCTTCCTGTAGAACTACATCGAAGGCATGAGGGTCGTTCCAAGCCGCATCTCACATGGCGAATTCTGTGCCCGGAGAAGATTCACTTAGCTTGCAAATTCACGCTGTTCTCAAGCGCCTTGTCGGCGCAGCATATGGACCGCACTGATAGAACCGTATCCAGCGAACAAATCGGCTCACTTACCGGCAAGTCGCGCAGCCAAGACGAGTGCGGGTATGTTTGGCCCTTTTTCGTGTCATTGTTGAGACAAGTTGATCGCTGTTGGCGTCTTCGTTGGAGACTGTGTTTGCGTTGGTCGGACTGTGCCTTTTCAGGGGCGCTAACAATACCATGTCTATGTTGGTTGCGCCGGCAAGTGTACGGCGTGGATGTAACTGCGTCAAGGGCTCGGGCTCTTTGAGATGTTGAGATTCCCTAAAGAGGGTGAATGAAAATCTTCCATATGAGTCACTGAGTTTGAGAGGAAAAGGAGCAGGTAGAGATATTGGAGGTACGGTTGAAGCTCAGTTACCGGCCGGTCGTCGAGGACTGTCCTTGCAAAAGCAATGCCTCAGCCCCGCTTCTTCCGCAAACATTGGTTATCGGCGGACCACGGGTATTTCTCATTGGTCGGAGCAAGCATCATGTCCAATCACACCTGTGAATCGATAATATCAGGATCCACATCTTGTTGGACGGCGTTCTGCCCTGCAAAACCAGGGACCGGCGAGACATCGCGCATCGCGGGCATTGACCGTAGGCCCCAGTTCCATCGGTGCGGAGGATTTGCCAAGTGTCCATCGTGTTTCCATGTGCTGTGCCTCTTCAGGAACTAAACTGGATGAAGCAAGACAGATTCCCAAGCATCCGGCACGTGAGGACCGCCGAACGTGAAGGCACGATATCACCAGCCTCGGGAACGCCGTATCACGAGTAAACTCAAGGAGGAAAAAATGTTCAGACTGGCTCTGGAACTCCAAAGTATTGAGATAATCTCTCCGTATCGAGAGTCGGGATGGGAAATAATTCATCTTATCGTGGATGCGACGGTCGCCATCCACCCATCTTTATTTTTAATTAGAGAAATTCTGAAGCTGGTGGACCTAATTGCCGACAACTTGTGGCTGCTGGCCATAGTCATTGGAAAGTTAGAGACTCAGATTGAAACAAATAGACTAATATAAAAGGACGTCCCAAGAGTTCTGCATTTTTACGTGGTGCATTCGTCTCCCTCAGGTTTCTGGCTGTTGGATTCGCAACTGCGGACTTCCACAGAATAGGGAAAATGCAAGTGATCTTAGCCATGAGATAAATCCTGCGAAAGACGAGGCCGGTCCAAATTGCGTGACGGGACTCCCTCACATGATCGGGAAGCAATGCAAGCCATCGTCATCCGCATCGCCAGAAAAAGAAGAAGAAAACAAGGTTCAAGTCCTGTTCAAGGAGTTGATGGTCAGAACCACCAATCGGGAAACATCCATCCTTGTACATGGAGCTGTTGCACAGAACGATAAGGTAAGGTGGATCAAGCAAGATAGAATACTCGACTTAGTCGTGAACATCCGCCCTGTTCACAGCCATCAGGAATTTCGAATTGAAGCCTTGTCCTCCATGTCTCAATTGAAATCGAATTGGTCCTTAGATAACTCGTCAAGAGCTATGCCCTTGTCTTTGCTGAAGTTCTACCTCAACCAGGCATGATGAGTGAGCCGGCTTATGTAATCAAAATGAGCCGGACCCACGCCAAGCAGCCGGCGATGCCAGAACTTCCATTGCCCAGAACCAAGCGATCGTCATAGGAGCTACTTCGAGCATCAATTCGCATAAAACCTTCCAGCGCTAAGGTACCAAACGAATGTCTCTGCAACAATAGCAAGTCGTGAGCCCGTTGCTCTGTGAGGCGATCTTGAACATCCGCCCAACATGCGCGAGTTCATGAGCTATGTGCAGAGCGCGTTCTACGACGCCACCGGCTGGAACCGCGACAACTCGTACTCGACGCTCAACGCAACTGCAGATGGTAGGCTTGACGAAATGCGCAGAGCTCATTTGGGGAACTGCACATTGGACCAGCACTGACATGAAGGGCATCGGCAGCACTCCTCAACTTTCCAACACCGCAGGGCCTACGCCTCACACTCTCCTCTCTCGCGACCCCTCACTTTGCGACATCATACCAGCTCGGCTCCGTAGGCGTAGTCGACGGCTCCATCTCCTACCTTTACTCCTCCGTGCCCCTCCGCGCGCACCTCACCCCGCAATCCGATGCCGTACCATTGCCAGCACTGCTGCGCTCGTACCGACCGCTCGCCGACCTCCCGCCTCGAACCTCGAAGCCTTACCCCCTTCTTAGTCCGGCCGCAGCCTCCCTGCTCTACGGCCGTTTGTACCTCCCTGAGTCCATGCTCGAAGCTCTCGTCGTGAAGAGGATATCCCCCGCGCTGCAACTCCAGCTCAGCGCCGTCTCAGGAAAGTTTCTACGCAACGGAGGCACTGTCCTGGGACTGGCTCAGTATGATGTCGGCAGATACGCTATCGAAGGCCTAGGTTCGTCCGACGGCGGCCTGCTGGGCTTCAGAGGCGCGTACAACTTTGGTGGTGATACAGAAGATATCCAAGCTCTACGATCGGGCGGCAAGCTGGGCGGACACACGGACGAAGCGAAGGAACGAATCTACGGACGCTTCAGCGCCGGCGGGGAGATCTACTACGGCCTACTTAACAAGTCGGGCGGCGTCAGTTTCGGCGGGCGCTTTGCGACGCTCCCAGAGCACCGCGGCACCCCGCTGACGGCGACAATGACGATCAACCCCCTGATGGGCAACATAAGCGCCAGCTACGCTGTAGTAGCAGGCAAGCACTGCAGTCTCGCGACGAGGATGGACTTCAACGTGTACAGCTACGAGAGCGACTGGTCCGTGGGCATGGAGCTGTGGCGCAAGAACCTGACCCGCAACCTCGAGCCCGCGCTCTCGGCCGAGAGCTTTGTCAAAAAGGACCGCAGTTTCCAGGCAAAGCTAGAGTGGAGGCTGGACGACGAGCTGCCCGAGTCACCCAAGCTGCAGCCGAGGCTTGTCGTGGAAGAGCCAGAGCATGAACGGAAGAATCAGCCGAGAGAACGCAGCTTTCAGGCGAAGATGGAGTGGAGATTGGACGATCCTGCGGTGGATCGGACGAAAGAGACGGCGGCGGCGGATGCCGGCACGGCGGCAGAGACCAAGGGCGCGGATGAATACGGCAGCGTCATCAAGGCGCGGCTGGACCAGAACATGAAGATTGGGGTCTTGTGGGAGGGGAGGGTCAAGTCCCTCCTGTTCAGTCTCGGCAGCGCAATCGACCTGCGCAAGCTCGACTCGCCGTTCCGCACGGTGGGCGTGGAAATTCAATTTTCATCATGAAAAGGAGTCAATGGTCTTTTTGGCCAGATTACAGCGACCCACCGGTAATCTTGCCTGATGCGACGTTCTTCCCGACATCTCGGTCGCAGAAACAGGCAGTTGGCGCGTGGCAGAAGTTCCCGGCATCCTGGCACGGCTGCACACCCGAGATCCTTAGCACCTGAGAGGCTGAGTCTACTAGTACTCTATACTACCTGTCAAGGTTGGACTCGACAGATCCCGGCTTCGTGGCTACGGGCCTCCTTGGGCACAATCCGAGGTGACGCCGCAGCTATCGATGCAGGATGGCGTCGGAAGGGCCGTGGTGGCTGCATGAAATAGGAGGAGAATGCGACGTTGCCTTTGATACTTGTTCTCTCGGAAATGTTAGCCGAGAGGAGAAAGCAGAACTCAGAAGTGGCTCTGGGTCTCGAAGTCTCTGGTGACTTCCGTAAGTAATGGGGCATGGTCGATTGGGTTCTTCATGATGAAATCATGGACGGAAGCAAGCGACCGGCTTGGCTGAAGCTTGACTAGCAGAAACGGCTTAAGCCAAGCTTTCTTGGCAGTGGATGAAAGCCACCCGCATTCAAAGGGCTACCGCGCGTACAGTTATCAGTACCACTCTTGGAGATGTGAAGAAAATCTTCCCACTTCACTGATAGAAGTCGTGTGCGTCCTTGTCTAAGATGGGTTCAGATTGGAGGAGAGCTGAACGTGAGTTTCCTCTTAGAATGTCTCAACTCATTCAGCCGTAACATATTACACGAAGATTAATCCCCAATCAATGTTCATGATTATGGTTTAACTATGTCGGTGTTTTGCCCCTTTCGAGCAATACCAGCAATATCGGCGATATCCCTCACCATTAGGTGAGTATCAAATAACGAGCGCATTCCTCGCAACGTCAAGATATCCCACCTCATTCCTGAATGCTGTCAGCTCCCCAACTGGCACTATCCTTGGTCCGTCGCGCTAGCTCGGCGCGGGTGCCCCACGCCATCAGATTTTGTGCCAATTTATTCGGTCTCTCATTGGCCCGCAAGCTGGCCATCAAGGTTCTCCGCACTAGCTTAACCATCAAGGTCCTCACTCTGAAAGTCGAAGCAAGTGCGTTGGCGGACCTCCAGTCTTTCTTGCACGATAGTTGCATGTATCTGTGTTGGAAGTAGCTGACTTTGGCGATGCTTACCATGATTAAAATCCACATGTCCTTGCGCATGATGGATAGAATCATGGAGAATAACTACAGAATACCTTGCACTGGTCGATTTGCGCTGCTCTGTCTTTGTTTCATGAATGCGGAAGCTGCAGGGGAACAGGTGCTGGGTTGTCTTTGATAAGAAACCCGTGAGGTAAGAACAAGGTGCGAAAGTGGATCTACATCGACGTTTGGCCATCAAGGTCCTCACTTTCCATTTTGCGCATCCGCCTGTGCCCGTCCCTGCGCCTTCCGCCCGAGCCTGACACCCGTGCCGCTCTGGTCAACTGTTCCTGGGTCTTTCCAAGTTCTCTCTGCACACTCGTCTTTTGCCCAAGGTACCTCTTGCTCGGTATCACCGTCGACCTCGAGAAAGTGAACCGTCAAAACTCTAAACATTAGACAGTTTTTCTCGACCGTCCAACAATCGTTTCGAGGCCACCGATTTGTTCAGACGGGTTCCCTGCACGTCAGGATATCGTTTTCGTACCTCGTCGTCCAATAATTCCCTCTCGTAAATTTTCTTTTTGGTATCTATCAGACGCCGTGCGATAGAACATCGATCGAGTGTCCCAAAGAAAAACAGCACACAGCAATCCACCTTGACGTCTCCCTTTGATCAGCCGCGCCATACCAAAGAACCACAGAAAAACCACCACCGGACAGAAGAACCGAAACAAGATATTTCCTCTTCCTTTGGTCTGCAAAGTGCCGGGTTTCCCGCTTGCTTTTGTGGTTCCTCCGTCCTCGTCGAGTCCACCCTGGCTGTTTAAGCGGGGGGTCCCTCCGTCCTCTTATGCCATCCTAACCCCCCTCCGCGACCGACGACCATCCGGGTTCTCGACACATCTTGCAACGCCGTCCCACGCCGCGCAAGTTCGCAGCCACCGCAGCCCACTCGCCCTCCCTCTCTTCGAGAATCGACAAAGAGAATTCCGATTCTTCATCGTCTCCATCAGAGTATCCCCTGCACTTGGCGCATAATATATACTGCCCAGCGCCTGTCTCGGAGCCTCAATCCTCTCCATCTACCAAGACGCCAAGCTGCGAGCCAAGACCTTCGAGGACCCATCTCCCAGGACGCACACCTCGCCCTGCCGCCCTTCAGCTCTTCGTTGCTCCTCTCTGTCGCCATCTCATTGCGCCTCTCAGACGACTTTGGCCTGTCGTATCACCTCGGTAAACGCATCTAGCCGCCGCTCAACCCAGTCTCTCGGAGACGCACAGGCTTCGAGCCCAGTCCGCCGGCACTTGTCACATATCCCCGGTCGATCAAGAAGCCATTGCTCCAACCTGTACCACCGGTGGTGCCTCGAGCTCGTCTACTTTGCTGTCACAGCCTTCCGGGTACTTACCTGTCTGCGGTGACCAAGACCAGAGCCTTAAAGCAAGCACCCGTCGCAGGCTCTGCCAGCATCTGTAACGTATTCAGCAAGAAAATCAGCAAAAATGAACCCTTTGGAAATGTCAGCGGCGAAGCTCCTCGCCCTCCGCCAAGATGATGGCTCCGGTGCCGATGCCGTCAACGAGTGCGGTGCCGCTGCCGTCGATGTCAGCAACAAGGGACTGCGTATCGCCTCCATCTTCATCATCATGGTCGCTTCGATGCTTGGTGGTTTCCTCCCTATCTTCCTGGCCAGGACCACCAGAATGCACGTTCCCAAGATGACCTTCTTCATCTTCAAGTATGTCGGTACCGGTGTCATTATCGCAACCGCTTGGATGCATCTGTTGGCCCCTGGTGTCGAGGCTCTGCACAACGAGTGCTTGGAGCCGATGCTGGGCAGCTACGACTGGGCTTTCGCCATCGGCCTGATGACCGTCATGGTCATGTTCCTGATTGAGATGATCGCATCCAACGTCGCCTCGTCTGCTTTCGGCAGCCATGACCACGAACTTGGCCACAGCAACAGCATGGCCACCAAGACCAAGGACATTGGGACCGATGGGACGAGCGCTACCGAGGTTTGCCCCCACGACGTTGACACTGAGAGGGGTGCCGGCTTTGTCGACCCCAAGAAGGTGCCTGGACTTCCAGACGACGTTAGCTACCCGCCCGGTGGAAGGGATCATCTCGGCCATGCTCGCGACCATACCGAAGGAGACAGCCACAACGGCCTCGCTGGCCAGTTGATTGCCATCTTCATTCTCGAATTCGGTGTCGTGTTCCACTCCATCTTCATTGGACTCGTCCTCGCCACCAGCGACGAGCTCGTCGTCCTCCTCATCGTCCTTACTTTCCACCAGTTCTTCGAGGGTCTCGGTTTGGGCTCTCGTCTTGCCACTGCCACTTGGCCTTCCCACGGCCGCTGGTGGCCTCACATTCTCGCCATCATCTACGGCCTGTCGACACCCATCGCTATTGCCGTTGGTATCGCTGCTCAGCCGAACAGCGCCAAGACCCAGACACTTGTCAACGGAATCTTCGACTCTATCAGTGCCGGTATTCTGATGTACACGGGTCTGGTTGAGCTTCTGGCCCACGAGTTCATGTTCAACCCGCAGATGAGAAACTCACCGCTCAAGGTGCAGCTCTTTGCGTTCGGCTGTGTCGCGCTCGGTGCTGGTGTGATGGCTGTCTTGGCCAACTGGGCCTAGGTGTGACGGACTGACCATGACGGACGTTGTGTGCAAACGAACGATGTAGAATTGGTGAAAACGGAACTGGAAATGATAAACGGATTATGGGGGCAATCGGTGAAAATGATACCTGGGTCGGTGAGCCGGTGTTTAGTGCACGGTGTGGAACATTACTTTCGGAGGCATTTTGGATTTTGCATTAGGAGGAGTTTTGCATACGCCTCTCAGTCAGGCATATAATGGGATAGTGATAGAATGAATGTTTGCAATCGCAATTGCTTTGAGTTAAAAATTGGCACTGGTGATATTGTAATTGCATATGAGCTTGCTCTGAAGATGTGATGACTATTGATCATTGTGGCTGGTCGTGCGGTAGTACGAAACCACTGCTTCGTGACAGCTCAAGATATAACGAGAGGCTGCAAGCTTCGGTGATCACGAACTCAAGCAGATGGTTTCTCATAATGTATCCTTGTCATCGGAGTGAGGCTCTGGCGTCTCCAGCATGAGCCCCTCATTGAGTCGAGCATTGGACCCACATGGAATGGCGCTGAACCGGAAATATTAGATAAACGACGCTCGGACTCAATAGTGGGTCTCGGTGACTAGGTATGGTTAAGTGAAAAAAAAATTGAAAAACAGTTTTGAACCGATGACACACGTGATCTGTCGCCCCGCAGGGCAAAGAGCCCTGCGCCAAGCACCGGGCACCACCAAAAATTTACCATCGCAACTTTCGTGAACTTGTGCCTCTCGATCTGTTGACCGACCGACCTCATCGCCAAATTTATCGCCCAGCGCCGCACCCAGTCCACCCTTCTCCCCCCAATACCCAATCAATACCGCAAAAATGGCCGGTGGAATCAACGTTCGCGATGTCGATGTAGGTTAACACCACGTTCTTCTCCATCTGGAGACCTCTCAGCCGAAACCCAAAGACGAAAAATCGCAAGATTTCTTCGAATGCTCGAATTGCGACCAAGATCACCACAAGAGTACTTTCCGATGACACCGCACTGTCCACGCCACATCCCCGAAAGCCCATTGCGCCGCCACTGCACTCCGGTCACGATCTCGCGAGTACACCCCGAAGCTTGATCTACATCCAGAGGTTGTTGAAATAGACCCTCTTGGTGCATCTTGCGGATGTCGCGACCATGACACATGGGGGAGGAAAGAGAGATGCAAGGTGATGACAGGAAGTGCAAACCAGGCCGGGCTCATCGAGTTGTGGAGGACATGTCGGCGAGGATTACAATTGGGAGAACAGGGATACACAATTTGAGGATACGGAGCAGGCGCGAGGGAGTCGAAAGACTTCTGATGACGGAATCATGCTAATTGGTAATCTTTTTCTCCGGTGCAGGCGCAGAAGTTCATCAACGCGTACGCCGCTTTCTTGAAGCGTCAGGGCAAGCTGCCCATCCCCGGTATGTTTAATCCCCGATATCCCTCCTCGAATGACAACTCGTCGCTGACCAATCTCCGCCATCAGGTTGGGTTGATATCGTCAAGACCGGCCCCGCCAAGGAGCTCCCTCCCCAGAACATTGACTGGTTCTACGTCCGCGCCGCCTCCGTCGCCCGCCACATCTACGTCCGCAAGACCGTCGGCGTCGGCCGCCTCCGCAAGGTCCACGGCTCCGCCAAGAACCGCGGTGTCCGCCCCTCCCACCACGTTGACGCCTCCGGCTCCGTCGACCGCAAGATCTGCCAGGCTCTTGAGAAGATCGGTGTCCTCGAGAAGGACGAAGAGAAGGGTGGCCGCCGCATCACCCAGTCCGGCCAGCGTGATTTGGACCGTAAGTTGCCTTTCTACATACATGTCTTCTCAGAGCATCCATGCTAACGTACCACAATAGGTATCGCCCAGACCACCGCTGAGGCTGAGGAGGAGGAGGATGACGAGTAAATTATTCCCCCAACACGATTTAAAAAGTTGTTTGCGGTAAAATAAAATGAGGTTCCGGGTCATGGCTACGGCAATGGGCATTGGGTTAGGCGTCTGAAAATGGATTACGGGTTTCATGATTGCAACATTGGAACCACACCCAAATTCAAGTTCCGTCTTTACCTGGTGTTTTGATACTCTCTTGACATGTAGTGTGTGTGCTACACGCCCTGCAGAATTCACGTCGGACCTCACGTCGTCTTCACTGCTGTCGCTCCTTCCTGCGTGAAACGATGCTGAGTGAGTTGAAGCGTGGCTCCTTGACGTGATCGACTTCCATACCCCACTCACCATCCAATCTCATGCTTATTCACTCCCTCGCCGACGCGCTCGTGATTGACGCGGTTGTATACTCCTTCCCGCATCGAATGATCGTATCACTCACTTCACTACCTGAATTCAGCCAACTGAAGACGCCAGTCTCAGGTTGAATATCTCCGGTTCAACAACACGTCCACGATCACTAGCGCTTCAACGCTTGTCACCACGTGCCGCCTGATATCAAAATCCTCACCTCATTCACACCTTAGTCTTTCATCCTCCCGGCACTTCTTTTCTTCGTCAGCCTGTCGCTATCCTTCTGGCCTCAACAGTCTATCCCAGAACGCATCGCAACTACGCGCAGTCACGAACTTGAGTCTCATTACGGCAACTGCACCAGCTCACTGAACTTATTCCCCAATCGACACCTTTCCGTCCTCATCCTTCCGCAGATGTTCTATATACAACCTGACTGCTCTCGCTTCTGTCACGGGTCTTCTGCAGCTACAAGTCTTCGCTGCTCGTGTCACTGGGAGTGCCGACCTGTCGCTGCTTCAATATCTCATAAACCTTTCACGGTTTCATCATTATTGACTTCGCCGGTCTGCTTGGTGTGTATTCCCATACCCTGTACCTTCCTTCCCGCGCCTAGTTCTTCCAATTGTCGCGCTCGCGATGCGTCGAACTTCTCCTTCACTGCTTTTCCTGAGTATCCTGATTACACCACTGACTTGACGCAAGACTACATGTGGACAAGCTTTTCTCACAGTTTGAGCCCCTTCTCCAACTCCAATTCATCTTACTGGGACGGATAAGTTGTCACCAAATAATCAAGTTTCCTGCTCAACTACACTTGCCGAACCAAGCAAACAGCATGAACTACATTGTTCGTTCCACCGCTCAAGGTGCTGCCAGCACTGGAGAGGAGCGGAGTTCTCCTGGTCCGGGTAAGACATATCCCTTTGCCACGCATATGTACTTGGCTTACATCTCACTCAGTCATCGTTTTAGAGAGAAGATCATGTGATGTTGCGGTACCTAGTGTTGAAGTCCACCGCCAAAGTCTGCCCCCCACGATCGATCGCATTGTCACCCCAGGCTCGAAGAAGCCGGAACACACCGACATCGAGGTCGCCGTCAAGAGAGAGCCTATTACCGAAGGTGATTCCTCCACCCAGTCGCCCAGGAACATTTATTTCTTCAAGAGAATGGTGGACGGCCGCCCCCACTTCGATGCTCTGCAAGAAATTGGTTCAGGTCGAACGCAGCTGAGTGACGAACAAGCGAATACCGAGTACGCGCTTTGGGAAACTGAACAAGGCGATTTCATCTACAAGCAGTCCGGGACCGACTTTCGAGTGCTGAAGTGTATCGGAAACGCTGAGTATCGGGGCGAGGAAGGAGACGCCCAAGTGAAGCACAAGTTCGCCACCAAAACCTTGGGCTTCATCGCCATTAGGGGTTCAGATTCCTCATTGGATGTTCTCAAGCTCGCTGTGAGCGGTACATCATTCATTCCTCTCCGGGAGTCGAAAGACAACTTTCTCTACCATGCGCGATGGCACCGACGAGTGAAGAGAATGGCTCGACACCTCGGTCTCAACCTTCGAACCTTCTACGATGGCGCCGGCAAGCCGATGACGGCAGATAATTGCGGCAATTGGAGAGCAGGTCATATCGAAAAGAAACTCGCCACATTTATGGTCTATGCGATGGTGTTCGCCCACGGTATCAAGCCAGCAGACAGCCACGACATCTCTCTCAAGGACTTGAATCGACTTCGTCAACGCCTCCGATACCAAGGTCTCGCGCCTCATTACGAAATCCATATCAGCAGAGCGCCGTGCGGTACGCCTCGGCGCCCCGGCCAGTGCATCCCGTTCGTCAGAAAGCTGGGCCAGGCGGCGGGCATCAAATTCACGGTTCATTCTTAGGAGAACAACCTGATCCTTGATGGCTCGGTACCTCACAGTCCCAGAACACGACCGGTGAATAAGGAACTTTCCGCTCTTCATTCTCAAGAGTATCTTGCTGTCTCCAGTCTCAGCAGCGACTACGACAGCGAGGAGGAGGATCTGCTAGTTCACCTTGCCGAAGCCGAGGGCCGCAAAGACGACATTGTGTATGACGGATTCGAGATAGCAGAAGACGAGCCTCGCACCTACGATGCTTGCGCTGCTGATGACGATGAGGCCGAAACAACTGACTCGGATTCTTCCCCCCTGCCTCAGCAGCACATACCCCCTGAAGTTGCGACCAAATTTGGCGAGAACCTGCGGGCGAAATTTACTCGAAAGGAGAAGCACACCACAGAATCGACCCCCGAGACTACCGAAAGCACTGAGAGTGTCGAAGAAATTGAGCGAGAACTGTCTTACGTTGATCTCGACCGCCCGCCTTCGCAAAGCCAGTACTGGGAGGCCCCTGCTACCGCGTCCACCGATGTAGCACGGCCGGTGCGCAGAGGTGCATCAAAGGCCGACTCCAAAATGAGACGGTCTCTCAAAGTGAAGAAGAGGAGGGCAAAGGCGCTCGGGAAGAAACATTCAGGTAATACCCAGACGCAGAACGCTGTGCTTTTAGGCTGCTGGCTGACAGCATGCTGGACCAGGGGGCTCTGTTTTTGCGGCTCGCCTGGGGGCGATACTCGGCTCAAGTCAGCGGATTGGTTGATGCAGCTAGCAGATTAGTTGCGCCGTAAAGCAAGTGTCAAAGGATGGCTCTAACGATTGGGAGTTTGAGAATATCTTGCTGGAATTCTTTTATCCTTTGGAGTTGGAATTCGAATTGTTTGATGGCCATGCCGCTCTGACGGCTCGAGATTGGGTCATGGAAGTACGGGAAGTTGAGTAGGTTGCCTTCAAGGAGGACAGTGATTGGGTTTCCTCATGTAAGACTATTACAGCTTGGAAGGTTCGCAACTACTGAGGAAGACGCAATAGTATCACAGTCCAGCAGACAGCAGAAAGACTATTATGTTAAACTACCTTGTCCTCTTGGATTTTTTGTTGTCTTTCAATCATGAAGACAGTAAAATTACATCGAAGACTCTGCTTTCAGAAGTTAAGAGCTTTCATTGCCTAAACTCGAGACTTTAATCTGAGTCGTTCCCCAAACTTGTACAACAACCATACGGCAGGGATAAAAGCAACTCCAATAAACCCAAGAATCGAATTGCCCCATCCATTACCCACAGCTTCATACAACTTCCCTCCGCAAAGCGGAAGCAAACCCCCACCTAAGCTACGCAACACGGTGCTCGCGGCAACCGCGCTGGCTGCATGCTCGGTGAAGGCATCGACCAAGTACGAGTTGATGGACATGAAAATGAGGATGGTACCGACTCCCACCAGGAAGGTGCCAACCAGCGGCACCATGAAATGAACGTTGTACTGCGAGGTCCAGCCGTACAGAAACAAGCCGACCGGGACTAGAAGGCTGCCTGGTATCAATGGCGGAAGTCGGTATTCGGGTTTCATCTCTCCTTTGCCGGCTATGGCTTTCACAAGCTTGTCGGAGAGAGCTCCGATGGTTACGTTTCCTACAATGTTTCCGATGCCAAAGCCCAAGTAAGTAAGGCCGACATCGCCTTTACTGAGCCCATATCGGCTCATGAATGTCGAGGTCATAGTGGTGAAGATGATGTAGATGAAGCCGTAGTTGACTGCGGCGCAGATAGAGAGAGTCAGAACAATGGGTGAATAGACAAGAAGTCTGGTCGGTCGAATGATTGCGTTCAGGAATGTGGCCCGCGGGGGCTTTTTGGATACCAAAACGGATGATATCTCCGGGTTTCCGTATTTCTTACGTAGTCTTCGAGCTTTCCGTCCTAGTAGAGTTGGCGAATGAGTTTCTCGGAGCAGTAGCAGCGTAGCGATGTAGATCGCTCCCATCTATTGCACATCTCGTTAGTTATGAATTCCGGTTGATCTTGACTTGTTACTCGTGGGTGCATGCCGCAATTGCTAGGAACCAAAAGTTCCACCGCCAACCAGTAGCCACCGACAAGTAGCTTCCAACTAAGGGCCCAATGGCCGGACCTAAAAGCACTGGTAGGTTCCAGACCGCAAGACCCTTGCCTCGTTCCTCCTGGATGAACAAATCTGAGACGCTAGCTGGACCGATAGCCAACGGGCAGGAACCAACGAGGCCAGTGATGAGACGGAAGACGATGAGCATCGGTAGTGAAATCGACAGTGCGCAAGCAACATTGGCTAGGATAAAGAGGAGGGAGTTGATGTGGTAGAGAATTAGCCGGCCGTAAAGCTCGCTCAAAGGTCCGTGAATCAAAGGTCCGAAAGCATAGCCAAGCACGAAGATGGAAACACTGAAGGATTCGAGATTCACGTTGGTGGAGTGAAACTCTGTCATTGTCTCGCTCGTACTGGGTGCGAACATTGAAGAGCCGAATGGCCTTGGAAAGAGATTGTCAACATCGAGGCAATACCGCTTTTCGAGTCTTGAATGATAGAAACTTACGAGATCAGAGTGAGTGTTGATATGAGAAGGACGTTGATCCACTTCTTCGACACTGACCAATTTGTTGGTTTCTCAGCATCGTCATCTCCTTCCCAGTCAACGACAACTGGAACGCTCGCCCCTTCAGCGCCATTTTCGTCAACTGCAAAGGTTGCTGGGGCCGTTTCTGATTTCGCCATCTTATTAGCAGAAATTGCAAGAAGCAGCGTAACTTCATGGCCTTACAAACATCGAGTTTCCCAGCAACCCACGACCATCGTCTTCACTTATACAAACATCGGTCAACGGCAGCGTACAATCATCGGCTGGCCGAGTGGGTCTAAACCGACATCTCGACCTGGCCGGACATAACGGCCTCGAAGGAACCCCTGCTTGCTGACACGGAACTGGCTCCACGCTGGCGAAACCGGCCCAATGGTCATCTTGCTAGTCGTTCCACACAACGGCTAGGGCAAATCTGCAACTGACGCCAGCCCAAGTTGGATAGAAGCAACGCCATGCGAATGTCGTCACTTCGAGTATCGTCCCGACTACATTACTCGTTTTGCAGCCGCGATTGTTTATCCGGGTTTACTGTGGCGTCATTCACCTTGTGTTGTCTTCATTGGTCGTAATTGCCGACGGGCCGTCTTTCTGATATCAAGTTTCAATGTCGCTTCGTCAATCGTCGTTCTACCAGTTGCATGACCAAGCCGTCATGTATTTGGCTGTGGGTGCTGGCATTTCTCACTTCCCATGATTGGTGAGCTTTGCGGAAAACACGGTTCGCCTTTACCGTTCTTGCTGGTTGCATTCCATTGACTTCCTGGCCACTTGCTGCAAATATGTGGGGACATCTCATAGCGATTTCCTCGGATAAAGAATCTCTAAGTCTCTTCACTTGATATTTTCTACGGCGTTCAGAGCTGAGCATCATCCAGAGCCACTGATGCATTTCTTTCGCCCCGACGGCAAAAGTGGGTTCTTCGGGGCCGACTTCGGACGGAGTCCGCCCGACCGCAAAGAAATCTTTGGCGCACGTGCCTTCGCTCTCGGATTGTGTCACTCAACAACTCAACAGTGTCGTTGACCTCCGGCATCGCGAATCACTTTTGTAACTGAATTCATATCCTGTCATTACCACAGCCTGCAGTCAGCAACTACAAACGCTTCACAATGTCTTCCACGCCATCTCAACCACCACCGGCCACCGGCCCCTCTGCGCAATCAGACCCCGCCACCTTCGCTCACATCGAGAACTACATCTCAACCCGCTGCAACGCATCCCCAATCTACGCCTTCCTCTTTAACTCCGGCCTGAAGCTCACTCACGCCTCCAAGGGACTCATCATCGCACGCCTGCCCGTCACCGCGAACCATTTGAACTCGTCAGGAAGCATCCACGGCAGTGTCTCGGCAACTATTGTGGACTGGGCTGGCGGCTTGGCGATCGCGGCATGGGACCTCCGTGAGGCAACGGGTGTGAGCGTCGATATCAACATCAGCTACCTCTCAGGCGCCAAGTTGGGAGACGAAATTGAGATTGAGGGCAAGATTGAGAAGGTCGGAGGCAGCTTGGCGTTCACCCACGTCAACATCTACAAGGTCAACCCAGCCGACGGGACCAGGGGCGCTACGGTGGCGAACGGAAGGCACACCAAGTTCGTGAGAAGTCGATGAAAACTCATGAGGAGTGAAAGGAGTGCGACTAGTGCTTGGAGACTGGGTACGTTACCCAGGCCCAGGGCACCAGGCGGGCCATCATCACAAGGCTGGTTCATGGCTGCTACTGCTGCTGCGGCCGTTGATGATCGAGCTGGATTGATATTGGCTGGCGCAATGAATTCCATGAATAACGAGTAGAAAGACAGATATTAGAATAGCAAGGTTCGTGATAGCTGCCTAAACAAAGTCAGTATCTGAATCCACTGTTAGGCGTGCCGCGGTTGAAGCTCACGAATCATCAGTGGGCAGATCCCGGAGTTGACTCCTTCTCGTCGGTTTGTCATCAGCTTAGCTGGCCGTTGAGATATGACATACTTACGGCCGTTATCGAGGGAACCAGGATCATCACATGTTGAGGCCAAAGACGTCTGGTTAGGCTAATGTCCATCTACTGGCTCACGCTTAATAGGATCGTATTGGATACAACTCTGGCCCCACACGGTTCGGACTCTGATCTTGTTGTCTTTAGCAGAGTCGACATGGGGGTCGGAAATCTGACAACGTGGAAATAACGGAACTAAGCGCTAATATGAAAAATATATCCTGTTCCGGATCTCAGCACAGCTATGAGAGGTGTTGCACCAAAGCGGGTTTAAAGGCCGTTGGACGAAAATCAGGTCCGGGTTTCGAAGGATCGCAACCGAGCCAGGCAGCAAAATAAAAGAGACCCGTTGCAGCGTTGCTATCGAGGTGTCTGTAGGGTAATAATGGTTTGATCTGGCCAGACGTGCGCTAGTGCTTATGCCGGAGGTAACCCTGGCAAGCCCTTACCGGTCGACCGAAAATGTTAACATCACCCGCTTCATGATGACCATCCCGGCTATCATTTCGCCTTTTATTTGACATCGTTCTTCATCTCGAAACTATGATACTAGCATATAATGAGTGACTTTTGCACCACATACCATGCGTTAAACTAGCTTAGCGCAGCAAAGTATCCAGCCACAGATTGTCCATTCGAGTCATCATGAATGATCTTCGCCCTATGATCACAAAGTTTGCCCTCGACTCTAAACCACAACAAGTCCGAGCCAGCAAGCCAAAGGTTCGCAGTGGCTGCGTCACCTGCAAGTAAGTCACATATAGAGGATCTGCCTTACTCAATCGTAGTAGTGATACTCATGCCACCTCTAGGCTTCGCCGCGTCAAGTGCGACGAGGGCAGACCAGCGTGCGCGGCTTGCTTGAAGTACCAAGGCCACTGTGGAGGCTACAAAGAAACCAAAACTAAGCCCTCCAAGTTACCACCCAAGCATCGGTTACTGTATCCAAAACCGAAACAAGAAAAGAGCAGAGTCCTCGATATACTTCTTGAGCCAAACTACTCGACTCTCGTCTTCTCGAGCCAGCTGGAGAAGGACCACTTCGACTACTGGCTATCCTTCACCAACACCGCCATTCTGTTCCGATCCGATCTGCTCACACAGATTATCCCGCAACTCTCATGGAACGACCCAGCCATTAAACATGCAGCTTTGGCCGTAGGCGCCGCGGCCCTAGGTGCCACTACTCGAGAACAACGTCTCCTCGGGCGAGGTAGATTCGACTCGGATGCTCTGTTCCACTACACGAAATCGATGAACATCCTCTACTCAACACCAATGTCTCTCGAACGTACGTTGACAGCGTGTCTTTTGTTCATCATCTTCGAGTGCTTTCGAGGCAACAAGGCAGCTGGATTGAACCACATCAACCACGGGTCCCGCATCCTTGACCAGTGCCCACCAAGCCAAGGCGCGGATTCGAGCCCCCTGCTAGAAGAAGTCATGACTAGTTTCCAGTATCTGAGTCTCCAGTCTTGGACTCACGGCGGAGCGCACCCGAAAGAGACAAAGACCCGAGTACCGTGGTGTTGCCGCGGACGCAAGACGCGGTACGCGGTCGACGAAATGCCCACGAAGTTTGAAACGCTGGAGGCTGCCCGCCGCTGGTGGAACGTCGTTCGCCACCACGTCGAGCACCATGCACCGCTATACACTGGGTTCATAGTTGAGGGATCTACCGCTCCATTACCAGAGAAGCCGCCGCTTGAGTACACCTCGCCGAGCTCGCAAGCACGCGTCCGGAGTTTTGTACGCTTCACCGACGCCTGGCACCTTGCCTTCCAACCGCTCGCCGTCAAAGCAGAGACCGAAAAGGAGGCGGACTTCAAGAGCTACTATAAGGCCATCAGCCTCAGAATACACTACTTGTACCTCTGGAGCGTGATACGCTGTGCCGGCTGGACCGATGTGGAGGACACCAAGCGCATCACGCCCGCATTCATGGACATTATATCAATGAGCAGACAGCTCCTCGAGGTCCACGATGCGGAGAACCGGAGTGGTGCAGAGGCAACAGAGATTTTCACGATCGAGGACGGCCCGACTTGGCCTCTGTGTACTGTGTTCCTCATGTGCACAATGCCTGGAGTGAGACATGCTATCGTCAAACTCTTCAAGGACTTCCCTCGGCGTGACGGGCTTTGGGACACAAGTGCATTCCTAGTCATCATGGAGTGGGTGAATACGATGGCTTCGACGGGTCGTATCACGAACGACCAACGGCATGTTGTCGACTGTAATGTTGTCTTTGGCGAGTCCTCCGTGACCGTTGAGAAGCAGCTTTGGGACCCTGTTGTGTTGGATTGGGAGAGTCGCAGTGTATGCTTTAGCTACTAAGTACCTGTACGGGTTGACCATGAATGATTGTTCATACTCTATATGACAGCCTAATGTAACTATGCGCTGACAGGGAGAAGGTCGTTGTCTACGTACTTTTTAACTTTGACAAGATAGTATGGTGACAAGAAACCATATTAAGCAGCATCTTATTCTGGTGTGCTCCGTATCTTACTCTTACCGCTCACGCTGCCTGTCTGATGCCTAGGTGGGCTGCCGGCGGGTGTTGGTCTGCTAAAATTCGTTTGGCACCCGCGGGATCCACGGAGAGACGAAACCAACACAAGTGTGTCAGTCTTCCAACTGCATACAAGATTGACTTAATCGAAGGAGCATCCCATGGCAAGGCAAACCCTGTATTCTGAAGGACTTACTGTGTTTACTAATTGTTATCAACACCGTCCCACCACGTGAAGTTTTAAACCCAGTAGTAGGAGCCCAGCATAGAAGAAATGATACAGCAACACGGCCTAGTGGAATCACTATGTATATTGATCTATAACCATTGTTCACTAAGGATATGCAGCCATGGATCTTGTCTAGCAGATAAGTCATCACGACATCACAAAAAGAGAAAAATAATGATTTCGTGCATGTAGCCATCGACTCGATGCATCGAAGCCATCGGGGTTCCATCGGTCACCGTCGTCCAATGCGACAACCTCAGAAGCAATGCCCTGTCTCTTGAGAGTTTGATTCGTCCCTTATTTTGACTGCCTAAGCTCTTAGAAAGCTAAGCACATAGAGCGCATAGTATTGGATGGCAGCTGCCAGAAATAAGCCCTTCGTGTCGTACTACGAGCCCACCGCTTCGTCCGGATTTTGAAACGCTTTGACACACGCAAGACAACCTGTATCAGACAGCCCCTTGGAGCAGTGCCATATTTTACAGAGCCTAGATGATGGTAGGGAGGTAGGGAGGTAGGGAGGCGCTGTCTACACCTGTCCCAGTCATGCCACAACTCGCCTGCGGCATGCCCGCCTAGAGTGCCACTCAGCAAGTTATTGTCACATATCTCTGAACAGCACGGTCCAATTACTGGCCAGGTGTCCGCTGCCAGACGTACGACCAAGCTCCTATGGCAGCGCGTGAACTGGAGACTTGGTGTTTCAGGAATCCATGTTGCCCTTGGCTGAATTCATCCCGTCGGTAGGGCTCCCCGCGCCAATACCATGTCTGCCGCGGATCCGGGGCCAAGAAATCATCAAACGAACGAAAAAGAAGGATTAGGCGGTAGCTTAGCCCAGAAGAGCAAGCGATCACCCAGAAGAGCCAGCTCCTTGCGCTGATTAACACCGAAACCGAGAGGCTGAACAACGGGCCCATCGCCCTATCCACCCCTTGTCTATAGAAGAACAAGCATCCAGCAGTATGCCAAACCCACTATCGCGGATGTCAGGCGTCTCGACCTCGTTTGAGGGAGTCAGCACTGCAACTCCACGAGGACTGAGGAAGGAAAAGAAGGTAAGAAATAAGCTTAGAATGCATATGTTATAGTGCACGAGGGTCATATTGCCTTGACGCGACTGCGTATAAAGAAAACTCATTTCCGATTATTCAACATTGATCTTCAGCAAACAACTTCCAATCATCGCATTCCGTCTTTTCTCTTCTACTGCTGCCAGGTGCACGTTAACTATTATAATCAACATATTTCTTCGACTTTCCGTCAATTTACATTTATCACCACCACCATGCAGTTCTCCGCCATCTTCTTGACCGTCGCCGCCTTTGCCGTTGGCAACGCTTTCGCAGGTGGGTAGTTCCTATCCCATTCTAAACCGCCTGCATAGTACACGAGGTATACTTTGTTACAATTCGCTAACCACATGAAAATTATAGCTTCTGTGCCGCGCAGTTTCGTCGACGGAAAGGGCAGCGCTCTGTTTGGAAATGTTGGGACGGCATGCTCTGTAGGCGCCAAGGATGGCGAATGCGATCGATTCGGGCGCTGCGTTCAGTTTATTCCTCCCAACGAGCAGTCTGTTCTCAACCAGGGAAGGGAGGTAGCCACTTGTACTGCAGGTGGACAGACCGGCACACTCTGAAAGGAGTCTCGAGGACATCTGCTCGTGAGATCAAGTCTTGGATGATGCTTGAGACTCATGGTCCAATACAATCTTACACGAATCAATTGTTGTGCTCAAACAAGGTCTGCAATATACCGGTACAAGCACAGCAGTGTCTCTCGATGGTTGGCTACGAGATTGGCCAAGCCTTAGCCAGGACTCATGCGAACCTGTCATTGGAGCTCGAAGAATTACTGAAAGTATGATAGTGAACAGTGTATACTGGATGAGATGTGTGAACAGTAGAGGCACCGATTAAAGAGAAAAGCAAGAGAGGGTAGCTTCGTCATGTCTTCTTTAGGCGCATTTCAAAGCAAGAAAGTTGTTCTGCCCGTCCATCAATCTGAACTATTCGTACTAGAACCAATCAATAGCCAACTCAGACGCCCGCCTCTGGTTTGTTTCATGCAACCTGCCTATCAACCTGTTGATTGCCGGCGCTAAGTGATGTATGCGGCCGTCACCCGTGAGTCGACCCGTGGCCAGTTACATATATAAAGCCTTACCGTTTCTGTTGAATCATTTACCACTGATAGTCTTTTACCTTTTCATAGCTCTATCATCTACTGGCCATTGAGTTACTACTTGTCGTTTCCAGTCACAAGGCAGTATTTTCCCCTTAGTCTCAAGCCTGGAAGATGCTGTGCTCGGCTTGCCAACAATTCATAGACTCTATGATGACAAGAGAAGAAATGCGGCCTACATCTCATCACGAAACCTACCGAATTCTCGAGTGTGCCGTTAAAGCCGGTTGTTATGCATGTAATCGGTTGTGGGCAATTCTGCCTCATGACGCAAGAAACTGGATCCGCGGTGAAGCTTCTAATTCTCCAATTGCTTCTCACAGCGTAGGCGTGGAAACTGGTAGTGACCCCGGCGTAGATCACCAAAGATGGATCCTCAGTCCGATGTCAATCACACACACCTGACGGGCCTACGAGAAGCCTGGACATGAGGGTGAAGAGTTCTTTCGAAGTGTCGCCAATCCACAAGCCTTCCCATTATGGATTTTTCCCAGACTACGGCGGTATTACCAGGGAGCATCTTTCAGACTCATTCCCTGCATCGGTATATAGGAAACCCGACGGGAACGCCATTTCATTTCAAAGACTGAAGAGAATTATCATGTCTATTTTATTAGTCTGTATCAGGAAGATTGTCACTCAGGCTCAAAACGGGTTTTACTAACCGCTTTGTAGGCTCCCCTCAAGCCTACTCACTCAAGACATATTCTGAAGGCACTTCATCGCAGCAGACTTTTGCTCACGTGGATTCGTGGTTCCAAGATTGCAAAGTAAATCATGAGAAGTGCAGAGAAGTTGCCACTGATCCAAAGTGGTATCCAACGCGCCTCGTATTGATATTAGTCCCTTGGATACATCGAGTTTTGTCTGCCGTATTATTAACACTGGCGATGAAACTCCTCATAGCCCCTATATGACTTTGGGCCATTTATAGGGGAGCGTAAACGGTCTCACTTTGACCAATAGCAACGCCGCCGAGCTTTTAGAAGGCATTCTTCCAGAGAGCCTACCACATCTTTATCGAGATGCAGCTTGTTTTGTTCGGAAACTTGGTGTACGTTATCTCTGGATAGATGCTCTCTGCATCATTCAAACGGGAGATGGTTTGGCCGACTGGCGACACGAGTCGACCCTGATGGATAAGGTGTATTCTCACGCATTCTGCAACTTGTCGGCTCTGTCTGGACTGGACAGTTCACATTCCCTATTTTACAGGCGGGACGTCGATTCTTGCCGACCACCACTTATTCACTACACCTTCGGACGTCAGACGAATCCAAGTTATCTGGTCGATGCGAATTTCTGGGAGGAGGAGGTCAGGCGAGCCCATTTCAACACGAGGGTATGGGTATTTCAAGAGCTCCTTCTTTCTCGACGTGTTGTGTCTTTTGGCGAGCGTCAGGTGTTTTGGAGTTGCCGGTCAGGTCGTGCGGCGGAGATATGGCCCCCGGATATTCCTGTCAAGGATCCCTACGAAGGTCCGCGTATCGAGAATCTTCAGCTTGGCGACAACGGAGCCCGCGGAAAGACGAAAAGCATACAATTGCTGGTCCAAAATCGTAGTCACATACACTAGCTGCAAGATCACGTTCACCAGCAACAGAATGATTGCTCTCTCTGCAATAGCTAAGGAGATGATGAAGGTGCTCGGAGATGAACATATCGCAGGCATGTGGCGTCGCCACCTAGAATCGAAGCTCCTTTGGAGAGTGCCTACTGTGTCTACTCCTTCTGGCTCACCGCCTATCACCTATAGGGCTTCCAGTCAGTCCTGGGCCGCCGTAGACGTTCTTGTCGCACCAGGCAAACTGTATAAGCCCGATCGTCTGCTGATCAAGGTTGAGGATTACCAAATTGAGTACGTAACTGACGAAAAGACCGGCCTAATCTCTGGTGGGTGGCTACGTTTGTGAGGTAGGTATATTGAAGCAAATGAAACTTTACCGTCGTGAAGGGCCGCACAGGAGAGGCGATGACCATCATAAACAAGTCTGGAACATAGTAGTCAACGGGCTCAACCCTAGAGAGGAAAAACGCGAGAACCACGTCAAGTTGGATATGTTCCTTGACAATTTTGACGAGCAAAACGACAACTCAATACTGTACTGCATGCCCTGCTAAGTGGCGAGAGGTTCACGGTTTTGACCTTGAAACCAATGAGTGGACCGATGAAATATGCGATTACGAGCTTTCGATGTTGTTGTTCGAAATGCAGGACAAGGAAAGGTGCCTTTTTCGACGCCTTGGAATAGCTCATTTGTTGACTGGGCCGGCAAAGGAAAACGCTCTGATTCAGCAAGAAGGAGAGACCGAATTCCCTTGCGAAGAGAATCTCGAAGGAAGGCACTTGATCTGTATAATCTGACATTTGATATAGACTAGTCTCTTAACCGTGCTCAAGTTCTTTACAGATAATCTTTCAATCTACTGAGCTGTGTCTTGGCGAAAATCTTGAGTATTTTGACTTAGTCTTTGTAGGTACTAAGAGAAAGGCCCCAGTAGCCTGTCATCTTCGGGTTCTCTACGCCTATCCTAAATCACAACACACAGAAAATATGAGCGGGCGGAAGCAGCTAGCGTCCGAGCCTTATGGTAAGCACGCTCGAGATATAGCTGATTCGAGCGACGTGAGACATGTGTGAGAGAGCACACGGGATCCTGACGGGTCAGATTCCTTCCAAGCCACCAGGAGCAGCGCATTAGCTCTGCGATCGGCATGTGAGCAACTTCAGATGAAGAAGCTCAGAGGTCAAGGTCTAATGCGCTGTATTTCCTGACTGCGCATCAAATACTATTCTGTTGATTTCTCGTCACTTACTTGCCTTTCCTATGCTTACCGGCGTGCCCCGAGGGCTTTCGTGGAATCGTGGGCTCAACACGCTCAAGAGTAAGATCCAGGCGAGAGGTTAGGACTACCTTGGTATATGTGTGTACGGTACACAATTACATTGAGGGGCGTCTTTTCGGCCTGGCAGAATGTGCAAGACAAAGAAAGGCAAAAGTCGGTCAACCATGAGACTTCCCGCAACACCATCAGAACCTAAAAGTCTAATTAAACCCTTACGGCCATACGATCCTTCGCTGGCGTTAAAAGAAAAGAAAAAAAGAAGAACTCAAGTCACGCATATGCTGACACCAGGCAGTACTTGATCAATTCGATCCAGACGGGGCTCGAACCCGCAATCTTCTGATACGATTCCGAAAATCCACGGGGATTTCTCCATTCGCGAAATCAACCGAAGTCAGACGCCTTATCAGTTGAGCCACCGGACCGAAGCGAACTGAGATAATTGCCTACTCATCGATGGAAGTGGAACGGTACACTATGGTCTCATAATGAATTGCGTAGAGTGAGATGCAGAGGTGTCGGGGTTGTGGTCTCGAGGTGGGTGTAGTCTTAGGTTATGAAGACAATGTGGTGGCGGGGCTGCCTTATCTGACTTACACGAGAATTGAGACCATTAGCCCGGGCGGGAAGAAACTGATGAGTGCCCGGGGGTTAAAGACTGATGCACGACGCAAACACGCTGAAAGACTTATACCAGGTACTAGTAATTTGATTAAACATTGGTATCTCCACGAAATGACGTGCGCCGATGGGGTGTCCCTGGTATATCCACCCATGTATGTATGTACGTATAGCCGGCGGAAACAAGCAAGTGTAATCCAACGAAACCTTGTCCAGAAATTCTCAATGCGATGCTCCATACCATTTTTACCCATTTCTCATTCTTCTCACGAACTTTCACCACGAGGCACAGAGAATCTAGGCCTTGTACCAGTTCTCGGGAGCGTCGCCGAGGCACTCTCCGACGGTGACGGCGCGGTAGCCCTTGGACTTGAGGTTGTCGATCATCTTCTGCACCAGAGAAACGACAGTCTGCTGATGGACGTCGTGGGAGAGAACAATGTAGCTGTTGCCCGCGGCGTCGGCGCTGAGCTCGTTGTTGAACTTCTCAGCCGAGATGTGCGTGGTCTCGGGGGTGTCGTTCTCGTAATCCTTCGTATCGAGGCTGGTGTCAATGACGTGGTAGCCCAGGCTGGCCATATCGCTCAGGCACGCGGCGTCGCAGGAGAGGAACGGCGCGCGCATGTACTTGGGCGCGAAGCCGGCAATACGGCGGGTTGCGTCCTCGAGCTGGGTCATCTGAGAGATGCGGTCCGCCGAGGAGAGGGTGCTCAGGTCCGGGTGGGAGTAGGTGTGGGAACCGATGAGGTGGCCCTCGGCCTTCATGCGGCGGATGTTGTCCGGGCCGGGTGCCGTCTCGATGTTGCCCCAGTTGTTGCCGTTGACGAAGAAGGTGGCCTTGACGTTGTTTGCGGCGAGGGTGTCGAGCAGCTGGGAGGTGTAGGTGAAGGGGCCATCGTCAAAGGTGAGGGCGACGACGCCGTTCTGTGTGCACTTGGAGATAACCTGGCCGACGGCGGGACCTTGACGGCGGACGAGAGGGCTGTGAGAGTGATGTCAGTTTCATGTCTGTGTCCGAGGCCAAGAAGGGTGAGCGGGAACGTACCTTGCGTTGGCGAGGGTAGCCAGTGCAGCGGCGCCAACAACAGTTGAGAAATGCATGGTATCGGTTGGCTGATGAGTAGGGGGAGGTTGAGTGACAGGGAAGGATGAGATGTCAGTGAGACTGGGGGACTCGGACGTGAGTAGATATTAAGCTACAAGATGCTTGATTAATCTTGGCTGTGAGTGCTGGATGTAGGATGAAGTAGAGTCGAGAGGTTGAGTAGAAGGGGAGGGGGAAAAGACGACTTATATGACCCAAACTTGGGACGCAACGGAGATAGGTTTGAACAGGGAAACATGGAACAGTTGACGGTCAAAGTTGAAGCTGGGCCCAAGCCAAGAGTTCACGTATGGGTCGACCCATCTCCGTACCTAGAATAGAGTCTAATGAGAAATCCGCTAGAAGGTAGAGAACCCGCACGGCACAGCCTGGCGGCGGGGTGGTGGACGGACTGGATAGTCAACCTGCCTCATCGTGGGAGTGGGTTTGAGAAAACGGGACGACTGCGGACCAAAGACGGTGCCCCATCCATCCATCTATCCATCCATCCATCCCGCCTTTCGGATCGCGCAGCAGCAGCACTTGCTTGCCCCTCGTCCTTCGCGTGCCATCGTCCTTACGACGGACTGGCCGCTCAGCCCTAGGCTGCCATAGAGCCTTGGCGGGCACGAGGAATAGCACCCGATGAGGCTCCGATACGAACCACGGTGCTGCAGGTATGATGATGGGCAGGGTAACTTGAGAGCAACGACGGGGACTGATGATGTGCCGTGGGGGGAGAAGATCCCCGGCGCGTTTTGACGTCAAGAGGCTTAGAAGCATGTAAGCTGACTGGACGGAAGGGATCACCCTCCTGTAGGCAGACGCAGAACAGGGTATTTTGCAAAAAAAAAAAAAAGAGAGGCGACCAGCAAGAAAAAGGAAAATCGTAACGTATGTAGGTACTTCGGGATGTGGATGGAAGGGAACAGCTCGAGCGCTGGCTCGAGACGTCTGTCATTCTGTCACCCTCGACCAGGTTTCCTGCTCGAAAAAGGTATCAGTTGCTTTCGCCCGAACGGCGGCGCAACCAGAGCGCCATAATGTCCATGTAGCAGCGAAAGATGGAAAAACCAGGCAGGTTGGGCAGCACATCGGAGATGGCTGGGATGTGGCGTGAACGGAGCCAAGCAAAACGGTAAGCTTTTGGTGCAGACCTGCGAGGTACCTATTTACGCTCACGACGAACCAAGTTGCGAGCGTTCAGCCAGAGGTAAACGGGGTGGAGTCAGCCACAAGCGCCGCTCGATACTGTCTCGGGATGGACCTTTGAGGTTTGTCTTGCTTTGGTTGCAAAGCTATTGGGGCGCCGTTGCGGGACAAAGGCCGCGCATGTGGTGTTTTCTTCGAGGCTGGGGGTCTTTTTCCGCCCAGAAGAAGACGAAGACGCCAAAATGGACAGAAACGTGGTGCGCGTCCTCGACGAGAGAGAAAGAATGAAAACGTGTTTCCGATACTGTAACGAGGGGTTCCCCTCGGAGAATCGAAGGGGCCCCCTTTCGTCGCAGCACGGGAACCAGGACCTCGTCGCAGAAGAAAGGCGTGTGCTTTCTGCAGATGGAAAGTAAACGGCCCGAGAAAGAAAGGCGACTCGATTCGCTCAATACTGGAGGCAGCAGCAACAGCAACGACACAGACTGTTGCATTGTGGCGCGGTACTGCTGGTGCTGAGGTGATCCGGCAATAGCAAAGACGGAGAAATGCCGAACGAGGCTCTCTCTCTGGCTCTCTGCCATGTCTCTGGGGCTTAATTGCCCTTAGGGGCCGTCAAGCGTCTCCAGGATTTCCAGGAATACCACCACGGGCTGCGGAAGCGTGGAGGCTGGGGATTCGAATGCCTGCCAACCTCTCCACCCTCGCGGATAACCATAGATCGTCCCGCCGATTACCTCGACGTCGCTTCCCAGTAGGGCTCTGCGCTAAGGATTAAGTTACATCGTGCTAGTGCGAGTCGTTGTCCGTCTGCCTGGGGCGGAATACGGAAAGCGCTTAGCATTTCATAGTACCTAGCTGCCACGCTGCTCACAGTTTTGTGTCTCACACACACACACGCGCGCGCGCGGGGGGGGGGGGGAGGATGGACTTGGAAGAGGGAGGGACTTGGAAGAGGGAGGGACGGAAGTGGACGAAGGAGAAGGGGACGACCCCTGGCTGGTGTGGTAAGACGACAACGGAGCTGAGTTGCTGAGTCGCTGAGCGAGAGGATGAACCTGTTCGCATGCTCTCACTTTTTGTCTTCCATTTGTTGACTCTGAACTTAAGCCAGGCATGCCCAATGCACCAGGGACGTGTGCCAAGGCCCAACCGCAGACTGCGACTGGCCCGCAGATGGGCTCTCTGGAGTCTCTCTGGATGGCGATCGTCCAAAGCCCTTATGGGAACCCATCTCTCGGCCGGGCGTGAAATACGAGGACGTCGTGGAACTTTGCTGCGATGCAGGAACTGGGGGGTGTCGTCAATTCTCGTAGGATGGGACCTCATGGCCCTACGAACGCCGTACAGCGTGACCTCGAGAACCCTGAAATATCGGAATGGTCTCGCGTAAGACGACGATATCTTGGCTCTCTCTTTCTCTTCCCGCGCCGCGGCCCAGGCGCATTGAGCGACGAGTGCGCTTCCCGCCTTCAGAACTTGTCATGTTGTGACGATGAAGCTTGGCCTGTCGTGGTCTCGTCCGTCAGCTACTGCTGTTGTTCACCCCCCATCAGAGAAGATGGGCAGACAGCAAAGCCGAGTCTCAGCGGCCCAGGCCTTCCTTGACAGTTTCTTTCTGATGGTCCCCTGTCATGATCGGGTCTCTCGGTGCATAGTGGCTTGGCAATGCGACCGCCGGACTTTGTTGAATAAGAGCTTGAGAAAAGTTGAGTGAGAGAAGAGAGGAGTGCTCCCCATAATGCAGCTGCTGACAGACCGGTCAGAAAAGGACCCCTGTTCACCACATTGCGCCCCGTGGAAACGCATGTCCTCGAGGACCGTCGGGAGTTGTTCACGTTGCGTTCCTCGCTTTACTGCTGCAGACCTACGCAGAGCCCGCTTCATCGTCGTCCGCAGCCTATGTCCAAATTGTCTAGACACCCTACACAAAAGCTATAGAGAGCGAGAACTAAATGGACGGTGCTCGGAGACAGAGGCTGAAACAAGCATAGTGCGCAGCGCCACGATTCACGGCGCGACAAAAGGGACGAACTCGTTTCTGCCGTGCAGGTCGAGCGAGGTCTGCTGATAGAGTTTGATTCTTGGGACTGTACTGAAGTCTTGACAGGCCCTGTGACTGGGGGTGGTTGCTTAATCAATCTGGTCTTGGAGAGTCTTGGAGAGACAGGGCCGGTAGAATAGGAACCATTATACTGGGACCAACCCAGTGCTCCATGAGAAGTCTCCGACGCCGCCGCAACCCGTATCCTACAGGGGACGTGGGATCCCAATCTTTCGTCTTTTCCATCTTTAGAGGGGGGGGCCAAGATGCTTGGGTCTTGGCTGTAAAAAGCTAGAGGACCCCAGAAGACCCAGTAGACTAGGAATACCCCAGCCTGCCGGAACCCCGCGTCGTGTCGTACGTCGCATCGCGGGCATCGCTTTGTTGGTTCTGTTCTCTCTCGCATCACTGTCCGCGATCACTCAACCGCTGGTTGAGTCCATTCTGAAGCAAGTAATAGTCGGGCGCAAGGGAGGCGAAAGAGACGAGAAGAAGATGGATGGAGGTATGTGCTGACCCGGCGCGGCATCTCATCTTGCCCACCTCCCGGGCAGCCTGACCGCTTGACTGACCGCAGAGTACATTGCCGATGCAAGTCGCTGAGCTCAGGTTCATGATCGACGGCCAGAAGCACAACTAACGGAAGAGGCTTTTTTCTACTACTCTGTATGTACTTTTGTCAATTGTGCAGATAAATCAGCCGACGTTTATTCATCAACTACACCAAAACGCTCGTCAGCCTGCAGCTCCATCCAGTGACAGGTCCCTGTTTTTTGTTCTTCCAGACCACCTTGAAGTTTGAAGCAAACACTCCCCAGCTGCGATGTGACGCTGAAGGTGCGCGATGATATCTGGGGAGATGACGCTCGTCGCCTTTGAGCGGGCCCGGTGTGGGACACCCAAGACAGCACTCTCACCATCTTCGGGATAACTGATTTTCTCTGACTGAGACACATGGAGCAATCCATGAGCTGACGAGACACGGTTCTCTCCCGCGGGGCGGCCTTGACGTCAGCCGGAAAGTGGTAGCGATGTTCCCTGCTCTTCGTCACGATGCATGGCCACGTCAGGCGGCGCATCGTCAAAGATCTGGTCTCGTAAGAAATTGTGGTGTTTCTGCCCAGCTGAACTGCTCAAGTCTCATTGGCAGTAACAGAGATACGGATGCGCTCACTGGGAACGGCGCCGCTCTGCTAAGCTGCTTGGCCAGCGCCGTCGCATCGTATTCAAGAAACGGAACCCCAGACTCTCCCAGAGTGGTACTCGGAATACGGAGGACTAACGACGCCCGAGATCGACGGCCGGCGAGCCAACTTTGGGTGAGGGTACTCCTCTCGTCTCCATCTCCCAAGACGCTTGTCAAGGCGGACAACTCCAAAGGGTCCCAATTCTTTGCGGAGTCCCGCCGAAATTCAGCTCTCTAACATCCTTTTTCGCAGCCTCGTCTTCCCTCTTGTCTTCAGGTTTCCGCCGGATGCCCCGATGGGACGCCAAGACCGTCGTACCTGAAGCATGGGCGATTGGATGGTTTCAAGATCCGCAACAGCATTGATTTGCCAAGACGTGTCGTCTCCTCTGCTCTGCGACTTGCGAGTGACAGCAGTCAAACACGGAGTGACGAACCCCCTTTACGAGTCAAGCGCCGAAGCTGACGCCGCCGAAATTGAACAACAGTGCCGGACGCGCGTGGTATTGCTAATTGGATTGGCCGATGATTGCGACGCTTGTCAGAAACGAGATGGCAAAAGATTCGACATTTTTTTTGCCTAATGTCTTTGGAAGAAACCGTCCCGACTTCCCACCTGAGCTACGCGGCAGCACCTGAAGGGTACGGAGCCCAATCCGAACCGCGTGATCAGATGTCTCCTCTCTTCGCCCAGCACCGTCAGAAGCGAGGCGATTGCGAATTGGCTACCAAGTCGCCGGGTGTGATCAAAAGCTTCCTTTGCAGAAGAGTTGCAGGAAGCCAACGCAGGGCCAAAGTAGCTCGATATCTGTTCCTCGGGATCAAGAAGTGTGCCGCTCTAGTCTGTGTAAAGAGAAGGCTGGAACACATCCATTGGCGATAGTTCGCAATTGCGGCAGATTATTCTCGCGGGATGAGAGATCACCGGGCAAGCCGGCAGCTGAGTGCTTGCGTGCTTTGGATTCTGGACCCTCCGCCTCCACGGCGCCGGTGCGGATACCCCAGCCGGCTCTCCTCGAGAGAGAACCCATCGCCTCCCGCTGCATTAGATCGGTAGGTATCCGCGGGGCTGGCTCCTCTGGCTCTTCCTATAGAGACCTGAAGAGACCTCTCGTGAGACCATGACAATTGGTTATGCTTAAGCTCTTCATGCTTTCCTCCTCTTGGGAAGACAACATCCGTAGCGCTTGCATTCACCGCGCGAGCTAGCTCGTAGCGTCGTCTACGCCCTCCTTTTCCACCAATCCCTACGTTGTGATTGCAACGTGGGTGGCTGTCAATCTCCCTTGCCTCCCGCCAGCCATGTTGACCCCATCACGCCATTTTAAGGGATAGTACTAGATGCAGCTTGGCTGGGCAGGGGAAGGTGAGGGGAGGCGCAACGCGGGGTCTACCTCTGAGGGGCTCCCAAATGTGTCCTAGGTGTTAGTTGGGATGGTCTTGAGCAGGAAATGATGTCCCATGATCAACCTCTCTAGAAATGTTGAACTATTCCCAGAGATCGTCAACTCAATGGAAGAAAACTTTGGCCTACGGACCATTCTGAGTGATAGTTTGATTGGATTATATACACGTCGTTCGTACTATGGACTTCGATTTGTTACGGATGGTAATAATGATGGTATTGAATTGAGGGCTTATCAAACTCGGTGACAGTAGAGTTGTTCGGTCGACTAAGCTATGGGCGAGGCCGAGGTTCTTCCGTCTATCCCGATAGGCCATTAGCATCAGAACCGAATGTTACGAAGACAGTGATGCGAGTCGATTTCACACGTATTGAAAGAGGTTTTTGTAATTGGGACAGACGAGTCTCTTTTCCTTCCGAACGATGTTGGCATTGGGGTGTTGAAGGGCCCTTCGCGTCAGAAGGGAGAAGCTCGGTGCAGCGCTGGGGCGCGGGCCAACAGCCCGAGTCACTGATGCTTCGCAACCGACATCAGTATCGACTTTACATATCACGCTGTAATCACCTGTTCTTCTATTGCCCTGCTTGTTGTAGACAAATTCTTCGGGCTAGTTGTGGAATGAGAGTGGTGAATTAGGAGGCCAGAGGTGTTACATGTAGTTATGAGAATGCAGTCGGAGCATCAAATGCACAGAGAAGTGGCATCGTATCCTGAGCAAATCAATTGAAAAGACCAACGATACAAAGGGAAACGCGATTACGGGAAGCCCAGGTGAACAACTGCAGCGTGTGGAATACAAACTGACCAACTAAAACATTCAAGCTACGTTTCTCGAACTAGCAAAGACTCATGTCAATCTATGAACCGCTGCAACGGGCACCAGGCTCTCAAGCTCTCCTCTCCAGCGAAGCTCTTCGTTCTCTCGAAGCCCCAGCCCCACCACCCAACCTTGAAGCGTCTGCCCTCTCCGGGTCCGCCAGCTTCTTCTTCTTCTGTATGGTCTGTAAGTTCTTGGGGAATGCAAATTCAGCCTCAATGGCCTGCTTTCGCCATTTGGTGAGTGTCCTAGAGTCGAACGCCTGCGTGACACCTAGCATCAGCGCAGTGACAACCAAAGACACGATCGCGGTGAACACCATGCTAACGAGGGGTGTACCGCTCATGCTGAACACCCCAGTTGCGAAACCTAGAGGTAGAAACACGACAGTAACGTAGGTAAACTTCTGGGTGTCGTTCGCCCGACGCTGTTCCAGATCGTTCCGCATGACCTCTAACCTTTTCGCAAGAAGCTCATTCAAGCTCGCAATTTCCAGATGAATCCGCTTCAGCTTCTGAACATCGTGTTCATTCGAAACACGCAGTTTCACAATGATAACTCGGTAGCGGTTTTCGTCGTTCAAGGTCCATCGCGGCTTTTCTGCCTGACGGTCTTTTTCCCGAGTGCGCCATAACTCCATCTGTGCCAAATTCTCCGCCAGATCTCCTTCTACCATTTGAAGGACGTCTTGAACTTGCTGGAACACCTACGGGCGACTCGAAAGTCGTTGAAGTCAAATTTGTCGAAATCACCTTGTTTATTATGCTCGACAGCCAGCGAGTTCACCTTTTCTATGCTTGATCGAGCCATCTTCAGGATTTTGTCCGAGCTTTTGAGCATCTTTTTGAGTATTCTCCTCACGATCAAAAGCTCCAGGACTCGTCTTCGTTGCCAAGGACCTTTCTGTAAACCTTGAGCCGTGGGTTTCTTCTCAGTCTTGAGCATAAGATTCATCATCGCTTCGACCACAGTCCTGCTGATATGCATGTCAGGCTCTGTGGACCTCTGGCTACGATCTTCATCCGTGATTGACGAGTGGTCATCTTCTTGAAGAGTTCTTATATGTGTTCGGATATGTGTTCTGGTTTCTTCAGCCCTTTTGGAATCATCTTCGTTTTGTGTTATTCTGTCTGGACGTTCTTCAACCTCTGCTAGTAAAAGTTCTAGGTCTTTTACATCAAGACTGTTCGTATGTGAGCCGTCGCTTTTCTTCCCGTGTTGATCTAATTCCCAGTAGCGACAGGTCCAGTATCCATCAAAAAAGCCCCCTTCAATGTGAAAGCTTGTGGAAACTCTCGTCAGGAAGGTATCGACAAGCTTTGCTTCTGTAGGCGGCAGGCTAAGATCCCCTGTATCCTGCGGTTCTTTCTGAGATTTGTTTCCCTCAAGAATGTCGTAGAATGACAAGTGAAGCTCAGTCGTCCATGTATTCAGCTTTTCCACAGTCTCTTCTTCAAAATGTTTTTCAAAAGATGTGTGGCTTTGGTGGAAGTTGGCCATCTGGTGCTGCGTAATGGGATCTGGTCAAGCAGTGTCCTCACAATGAGTGATATCATCCGGTCCAGCGGAGAACATGACCCAGAGTCTTTTCTTGGCATCTTTAGGCGTTCTGAGCCTCCGGTCCAAAAGGTTTTCCATTGTGCTGACCCTAGATATCTTTACCGACCGAGAGTCTTCCTTCCTAACCTCTGCTCCTTTGCCAGCCTTGGGCACATCGATCAAAACACCCAGAATAGGCGTGTCATCAGTTGTCTTTGACATGTTCAAAGCATCTTGACTGAAAAAGAGGGGTTTGATGTACAGCCATTCGTCTTCAAGCTCGACAATGTTTTGTAGCTCTATTGCCGAACGGGAAGTGGTGCTTCATGGAAGAACTAGAGGCCTTCTTGTCGTTTTTCTCTCGGTTCCGTTGCGTGAGATCTTTGAGAAGTGGAAGAATCTTCCTGTTGAATTCCGGCTGAGATGAAGATTTGGAGCTTTGGGACTTCGTATCGTCTATCGGACTGGTCTCTTGGGAACCCTTGACAATTTCAGGCTTGATCCCGAGAGAAGAAGAGTGCTTCCAAAGAAGGTACGGGATTTTGAAGGTAACTCCCCATAAATTGTCTCGTGCAAACTCGTCCTTGTACATGCAAGGCGAGCCTTGCTGATCAAGCTTTCCTGGGAATAACCCGTTGTCGGATGATCTCTCAAGTAAGAATGCCAAAGCGTGCTCTAACATATCTTCCGGTGCCCACGTATCCATTCACTTCTGGTTGCGCGCCATGGTAATCGATAATGCAAAGCATAGCGGCTCGTCCCAATCGACATCGGTATTATCCTCATGCAGCTTTTGACAGTCGACGGTGTTCTTCCAGACTTCGATCATCTTATCCCAGCCTTCTTGAGAAACTTCACTCGAGGATGGTTCGTCAAAAAGACCCTTTTCCATGGCACGAAACAGCGCTGCGTCTTTTGTGCGGAAATAGATACGTGTGTTTGATGGAGTTCGTGAAACTGCGAGCATTCTCTTCTGGGACACTGGATTCTGTGTGGTGAACCTCTTGATGATGTTTTGCTGAACGACTTTCGAAGTATAAACTCTCGGCTTTGGGTTGCCCCGTGATGTTACCATCGGTATTTTTATGTCCATGCTCTCTAGCGCTTGTAAAGCTTGCCAAATCAACGCGTGGTCTGTGAGATAGAAGGCATCCGTCGCTTTGTCGTCGTTTGCTTCGTCGTAAGGTCTAGAAACGGGTGTCTCAGCTCACATGGCCACTCTGCCGGCCAGGTGCAGCCGAATTACCCGCCGCCTCAAGGCACCTTTACTAGATAGAGTGGTGCAAAATTCAATCTCTTGCCATTTGGAATGCGTTTTTCCATTTGCCCATTTATGGATAACCGGAAACTGCTTTTCTCATGATGCTTAGGGGAGGCACAGTCCATCTGGACATCCAAGCATGTCGTCGTCCTTTATGTTCAACAGGCATTGAACGAAATACACAGTTCATAATGCATTCAATATACAGACTCTTTTCAAGGTAGCCTGCCCTATCAGAGACCAGGCTCTTCAATCACCTAGTAGTGAGAACGTGGCTGAAGGAGACTTCTCAACAACAACCTGGATGGCTGTCAGGTAAGTTACGCTGTCTAGAAATGACTTCGCCCTGGCCCTCAAGGCCCCAAGCACGACGATTGGATTACTGTAACGTGGGGTGACTATGGACAAGACACAACACGCGAAACGTGGTAGCGTTAAGCTTTTCAATGTGCAAAGCTTACACGACAGAATCGGCCACAACGGTAGCGGCAGGCCTTTATAAATAAGCAGTCTGTTGATGAATCCTGCCAAACCATTCATCGTCCCTACTATAGCCTCCCACTAAAGGTTTCTGACATCGTCGTTCCTCGACCCCTAATACGTCCCAATCAAGATCACACTTTCGCGATACAACGGCTACCCTGCCTTTATCCTGTTATTCAATTCAAAATCAACGCACCCCAATTACTTACCTTACACAATGTTCAAGTCTGGATCTAGGCTCCAGGATTGCCTGGCAATGAACAGCGCAACCTTCGCATTCCTAACAGATGGGAGTTATGAGGTCTATCGATGGGCTCTCGCCACTGATCCTGTTCGAGACTACAATAAGCCGTTGTTTCGAACTCTCGGCGAGCGATGCTTCGAGATTCAAACGGATTATTCACGCATCCCTCCTCAATTCGGCTTCTTCTCGCCTGGGCCCTGTCCCCTCCAAGGGATAGAAAGCTGCTTCTTTGTTAACTTGGTCAGCTTTTCTCTTACACTATACCTATTTCTCGGTATTTCGAGTATTTCAAGAGGACCTCGTACTCTTTTACGAAAAGCTGCGTTTCTGCCTCTAGTTGTACTTGTTATCACCTGGTTTCTGATGTGTGCGGTAAGTTATCATGTATCTACTGTTCTACCTAACTCTTACTAACCTTTTCCGTTCGATATTTCTTGATAGAATCGCCACATTGCACCAGATTCTTGGCGACATGACGGACCTCCTCAAAGTCGCTAACGCTTGGCAAAGATCTTCATGGAGATTTGCAAAACGCCAAATACACGGCGTGATGCCTTTCGACGCGCCCTCGCCATCCCGCCAACTCTCAGCCCTGGCCGACGATACATCTACATCCAACACAGTCCCTTTGTCTCGTCAGCAGCAGACAGGTTTGGCTGGCGTCCTTGCCGCCGGAACTGACTGTCAATCTAGTTGGAAGCTGCGACATTGGAATATTGCTTGAGGGAAGTACGCTTAGCTCTAAGCAAGAGCTCTCAAGGTCGACCTTGCAGTCACACCCAGGCCGGCTGCCTCCCTTGACACAATTCCTCCTCAACTATGATCTTCCCGTCAAAGAAGGGGAGTTCCGCGGGTTTTGTGGGTTCCTTACTTTGATAAGATTTTCCGTACCGTACCCTACCTTCCTCCGACGAATTGGGATGTGCCCGGCAAGTAGGTATTGGGGACGGCTCCTGCAATAAAGAAGCTATGCGTGCCTTCCTCCCACATGGAACCAGTTTTTCCTTTCGTGCCAGAGACCTTTCTTCCCATACCCAAGCTGGGCTACTCCGAGTGCTCGCGAGATGCTCTTTCCTTGGGGCATTGCTAGGTCCTTAAGGGGCCGATGAGCTTGAGCACCTAGATTCCGAGTCGTCGCCGTCTTCGTCGCGAGGTGGTTGACCGACTTCATTGTGAATCGGTTCCGCACCGTCGTCGAGTTCACCTACCTTGCAAGTCCTTAGATTCTTGGGACTGTAATGGGCCCAAGATCCTGAGTGTGAGCTCAGGCCTGTGCACCCGACGGAAAGCTTTGGAACTTTTTGCCTTTACAGGCTTCATCGCTGGTCGTACACGCCCTTCTGAGTACCACGCGGTGGAACTTCAATTAGTAGGTATGGAGCTTGGTGGTCAAGACAATTCAGTCTTGGCCACGCGTTCAAAAAAGATAAGTAACCCGACAGGTCGCCGCCATCAACATGTGACTCTTTGCTAATGCACGTAACTTGACAGCTCTCGTCCGCGGGCGGTTTGACGAGCGACTTCAAAGATCAACGATGTAGTTTGCGATGCCACGTGCCAATGGCCAGGGGGCTAGGTGCTTATGATGGATAGTGGTGGAGGGTTCGGGTTGAATACGGGTTTTATTGGATGGTCAGGCTTCCTTTTCGTCCCTCTCACTTATCCAGAGAACCACTCAGTTACACCTTCCATCGCCTCATTTGTACCCCGAAAACATTGTCCGCATGTCTTTCCTGGGGCGTCAGAGATGGGCTGTCGTCAATTCCCGACAGCTCTTGCATAAAGGACCTGTAGGCTTCTTTAGCGCTCTTGGGGCTTGGCCTAGGGAGAAAAGAGAAGATTGAAATTGGCACGCTCACCATGTTTGATTGCACTTGAACGGTAGAGTAGAGCGGCTCCTCGCCTGGGGCAAGCAGTCAGATTGAATAGGGCTACATGGGAGTCGCCGTGAAGACAGACTCAAAAAAAAAAGTACAAGACCGACGTTGTGACAGGCGGCTGGCTGAGGTTTTGGACCCGCTAGTAGGGTCGATCATTGGGGTGGCTCGGTGCAGAATTACATTGAATGTGACTGCAGACAAGACACCTCCGCTACTCGAAAAGGTTCGTGATGGAGTAGTGCGAACAGAAGCCCGCAGGATCAGGGTCAACCAACAGCGACATACGCATTGCTCCAAGAATTAGAGGATCACCAGCAGTCACGGAGTATCCGTACTGATACCAGAATTCAGGGCATAGGTAGCCCACAATTTCCAGGATTAGGGGGTTTTCAGCAGAAACCAGCGGACTGATCCTGGGATTTGGTTCAATGAGATTGCTAGACGTAGCCGGCATGCCTCTGTCGCTTTGTACTTCTGTCGAGGCCCTTTGAGCTATGCTGCCCCAGCTGAAGGAAATGAGACATGTCTGGTGCTTTCCCAAGGTTCATTGATGCGGCTGAGAAGTAGCTCTAGAGAGGAATCTCGAGACATTTGATTTAATCCGAAGGTAAGGTTCTCTCAATTCAAACTCAGCGCTGCATCTGTCCGCTGTCAAACGGCCGGTCTTTGCGAAAGGCCGTCTTGGCCCTGCAATCGATCATATGTCGTGCTTCACGTCGTTTACTTCGTGACCGCTGCTCGAATTTGGCAGAGGTCTATTGGGCGGAAATTGACACGCGGCAGTGTTAATAAGCTGTCCCTCGCCACGTCCACCTTCTCTATAGGTACCGTAGTCTTGGGAGACGTCGTTCCGCTTGCGTCGAATTGCACCGGAGCGCGAACATGTCTCGTGGCGCCGCGGCCGCATTCATCGTGGTGTTCCCTTGTTGCTCACCGGCCGCACCTAACGGCCAAGGCCATCCGTCCGACGCCTCGCTGCTAAGCGGTAAGCCATGCGTGCCATGAGAAATGGTCTTTCCACCGGCTGAAAGACTCCATTGAAGTGTTGATCGCGATGCAAGCCTTCCGGGAGATCGGTCCCTGTCTCCGCGGTCGATGCCAATTGATATGAGCCCTGCGGCCACATGTGCATTGATAAAGACCTCCTTCCTCCCTAGGCAATCAGCCGGTCAGCGTGCCCTTCAAGTGTTCAATCCGCGACGACTTTGCTGTTTGCCGCGTGGTCCTTGGCGGCACTGGGCAGCATTGGATGCAGGGCGAGCCAAGGGGCTTCTGGTTTCCTCCAGTCTCCTTCTCAGGCTCCATCTGATTCCTCTCCTCTCCGGGAGTCCGCCGTCAAACGGGAATCCCGCCGCTCGATCGAGAACGCGGTCGACATTCCTCCGAGCACACAGCTACTAGAGCTTGCTTCCCGTCTGCAGGTGTAGATTGCCCCGAACGATGAAGAGGGGGGAGAGCAAGCCTGCAAGTCTTTTAATGCAACAGCCTGGCTAAAAAGACGTGCATGGTCGCATTCTCCGAGAGGGACACAGGCTTACGAATCGTCCACATATTTGTCGTGTGGCCTATCGAAGGAAACCGCCAAGGAATTAATCGAATTCCTCCAGAATTTCCCTGGAATTCGAGAATTTAGCCAATGTCCCATGCGGTCGGTATAAGATCTCCCCTGGGTTCAGGCACGAAAGGGAGAAAAAAGGGGAAGATCAGGAACCGGAAAAGATTGTTTTCTACCAGTCCCAAGTCGCGTGCGGTGTCTCTCTTCTTTTAGGAACAAGCGCCAGCACCGAAAGCAGGTTTTCTCGATGAGCTGAAGGCTGTTTCCTCCTAGGCTGTTGGTTGCTTCTCATTCGGCCGTCATCGGTTTGATCGTGGCAAGGCGAAAAGAAGAAAAAGACGTTTACGAGAGGAACCGTGGAGAATCAAGGAGAATACGAGGGCAGAAGAGGAGGAAACTTGCACCCGATGCAGCACCTGCCTTGGCTGTCTCCGGTTCCCCAATAGCGATCCAGCTGGGCGCCTCGCAGCGGCATCTACGGCAAGCACAGCCCCCGGGGGTCCCCACGTCAGCGAACTGGGCCACCCCGCCGCACCCGGACGGG